TGAAGGCGCGAAGGAGCAAAAGCGCGCCATTTTGGCATCATTGAAATGGGGGGAGGGGTGGTCCAGATGTTCCATTTATTTTGTCCAAGATTGTAGCTTTTTTTGCCTGGCCCTGTGTTTTTCTCACTACATATTACCTTGAAACAAGACTCAGTTTTATTCCAGAAACAATCCAGTTTAGCGATTTTCCACTTGAAAAAGAGCTGAAGGAGCAAATGTCAAAAATGGAGGATGCTATAAACATCGAAGAGCACGAATCTTCTTCCTCAACGCCCCCCACTGCAAGGAATTTTAAAAATTTCGGCCTAAGTAATTCAAAATCGGTGCATTTTTACGACAAAAATAAGAGTTATTTAAGGGGTTTTTGGAGATATTTAGAAAGTTTTGGATGATATTTAGGAAAGTTTTTGAGAATTTCTTGAAAGATATTTAAGCGATTTTGCGTAATATTTGTGGAAAGGTCCACCTTGTTCTCATTACATGATATACTTGCGTGTGTGTTCACCCGGGTGGAAAGTTTGGCACAGACGCGTCAATGCAAACAAAAAGCAAATCGGGATTTAGAAAAGCTTCACCAAGGCCAAATCTGTATTTAGAAAATAAAGAAGTTGATGTTATTATCTATTTTAACGTGTATTAAACAAAATGTTTGTAATAATGTCCATAAGCCTCCTGTAGAAATTTTCTTGAATATCGTTTTAAAAATGACTTCATCATAAGTAATGCTCTTTGTTTCTTTCCGCCAGATTGACTCGCCTGTGTGAGGACCTCTTGACACATTGAAGCAGGTCAAGTTCTTGGCTTTCTTCTTGTCTTGTGCATTAACTTGGCTCATTGCGGTAGGTGACTTTGTTTTTGGAATATTTAGTGAGCATCTAAGAAATACAACACGCATTTGTATAGTTTAATGAACCACACAACTTGGAAAAATGCCGGCAGGAAAACCTGCGGTAGAATGCCATGAATAACATCCCTGTGTTAGCGGAGAGCTGCCAGCCTGCTTATGGCCACTGCTTTCCAAAAAGGTCCAAAGGGCCTTACGTAATGTTTTCAACTTTTACGTTATCCTCTTAGGACACAATAGTGTCCAGATCCTGCTTACAGAAACAAAAGGCCCTGAATAATGTTAGACTTTCAAACTGGCACGAATTTAAAGATGATTCATTTCCACAGCGAACTAATTTTTTCCCGCCTCTGATTTATCACCAGGAAATAACTTTACACAACTGGATGCTAACTCAAGGTGGGTTGTGTGAACGTGTACAAATGTATGGCACATTTAAATGTTCTAAGTAAAAGGTTCTTAACTTTGGTCATTTTTGAAATGTTTACCACTTACAAAGGGTGGCACAAGAGTCGCGTCTTTTCTATTTACTCTTGATGTTTCAGTTTGTTCTTGTTTCAGCTGCGTGCAAGCAATACCCTCAGTAAACGCTTCTGCAAAGAATGCTTCCTGCATATATTACACCTACAACATTAAAGGAGGTTTCTGCGAGGATATAGTTACTAGTTTGTACGTGTTTGGTGATAGTGGTACCTTGAGGTACGGTGAATTCGAGACCAACACATTTCGAAGTTACTTTGATATCTTTGAAATAGCCAATGAGTGCAGACCACTAATGAGAGATTTGTATTGCCGTTATCATTTCCCGCCGTGCGATACTTCACTAGACAAGCCTCGTGCCCGTAAGATTTGTCGCAGAACATGCGAGTATCTGGATCAAGAGCTTTGTAAGAAAGAAATGATTTTAATTAGAGAGGCAGCAAAGAAGGCCCCAGTTTTCGACCGAGATATGATCAACTGCAGCTTATATGACGATGCTAATGGTGGAGATGCTCCTGAATGCTATCAATACTTTCCAATATCAGGTGAGTAGATCTATGTTAAGCATTATGACCGGTTTTCACAAATGCATAGGCATATAGCAACATACGCTGGCATAGAAAGATTTTGAGTTTGAGTCGACTCAAATAATTAACATGGAGTTTCGCATACATGATTCAGACGTCGAAAGTGTAAAGTTCAACAATGGGTTATTTCTTCACGTGCGTAATGAATCTTTCTACGTTTCTCAGAGTTCCACTGTAAAATAACGGGACGTGAACTGACCAAATTCCCCGTATTTAGCAGGTCATGATCGCCCACAGACAATTGGAGTTCAACACTCTCCTTCAGTTAGACATTTTTCATGGAGTTTATTTTTAAACCGATAGATGCACTGACTGCATCTAGATAATTGAAAGAACGTAGAATTGATTCTGAGGTCCTATTTATATGATCTCGTGTAACAGAAACAGCCCTTCCCTTGAGGCAAATTGATCAAGCGTTTATATGAAAAAACGTTGCCCCTGCTAGCCAAGTCAAAGTTGGCCATGCTTGATTATTTAAACTGAGCCCTTATTGGATATTCAAGTGGTTAACTTGAGCGTTTCCAAGTCCAATTTTCACATTTTAAGTAACTTACAAGCCAATAGGCGCTTTCCGTTCGACCAAAACTTCACGAACTTTCCATTCAGTCGACAATGACGACTAATAAATATGACACGAAATTCAAAATTTCCTGAAAATGATAGCACCCACAATAGAAGCTTTTCATGCTTCTCAATTGAAATTGGTCCTGTCCGCCGTCAAGCTCTAGTCGGGTTCTTGTCTTGAGCAAGCCCTTCAGGTTACCTTTTCACTTCTTAGAATAACAACGGCGGATTTGAGATCAGCAACCTTTTTGTGAAACAGACTTTCCCTTATAGAGACAAAAAAGGCTCGTCTTTAATCCCCTTCCACAAACACCGAGAAGAGAGACTTACACATTATGCTGATATTATTTTAAGCATCATAGTAAGGCAAGAGAGTCGAGTATTATGCCAGACAGTAACAGTGACAAAAACTTGCTTACAGGTGGGGTCTGGGCCTTGGACGGACCAATCTATCACTTCCTGGTGGTCTCAACATAAAAAAGACCTTCCAAACTGGGCTTCAGCGTGAGGGAGCTAATTCAACCCTCTTCCGCTTCATCAGAGCAAGTTTTTATCCCTAGAATACTCATTTCGTAATAAGCAAGCCAGAGTATTGGAGGATTACCGTGAGGTGTCACTTATACTTCAATATAACAAGTGTTAAGAGTAAATATTACCTTTTTATGAGGGAATAATGGAGCATAATAGTATCACCTTTCGAACATGTGAGTGAGATTTCTTGAGCATCAAAATTCATCATTATAGTGAAAAATTTGAGCATGTCGTGTGGCATCAAATTTTTATAGGTTCAGTAAAGTTTTGCGATTTTTACGGTTTTTCCACTTTACTCCACTGGCGAAATTATACATACAAACAGCACAAGTAGAATGTTGTTGCCGCCATTTATTAAAACGTCTCTTCCGTTCAGAAGCAAAAAGCTGAAATGAGAAACACAACTTTCAGAAATAAAAGAAGTTAACAAGAAAGAATCGTCTAAGGTACGTCATTGAGAAGAGCATCTACAATTCCACACAAGAGTACAATGTAACTATGATAGTGACACTGATTACTGAATTTCTGTGTCTCACTTCTCGGTTTAATTTTTAAAATGCGAAAATGTTGTCATTTCAACCTATGTTTCAACTAAATGCGAAAATCGCAAAAATTAGTACCCAGCAAGAAAAACAAGTCTTCTACAATCGCAAAAACTAGCTCCCGCAAAATACAAAATATCAGCGATTCGCTGCAAAAATAAACTCCCGCAAGAATTTATAGCCACACGGTAATGTGTTAAACCGTAAGTCTGTAACTTGAGCACATCAGAACCCGCCACGGAAAGAAATCAGATTCTTCGACAAAAATTCGCAGTGTTATATTGGGAGAACTCGAAAAAGCTGTGGAAACACTCGCCTGCGGCTTGTGTTCCCACGATATTTTTCTCTATTCCGAAACGTCCACTAGTGTTTCTATCTAAAATGCGATAGGTTAAAGACGGATTTTGTTTTTCTATTTGTTAAAGGGGCCTAGTCAGCCACACCTTTGTTTAGGTTTACATGCCACAGTTTTGGTTAGTTAAGTACAGTAGAGCGATAAGATATTTCGCTACACCATGCAATATCAATAATTTCGATGGCATCAAAAGTGGCGGAGGCTGACCACGGTCCTTTAATAACTGAATTGCTTCCTTCACAGCAATGAAATATTAACCTTGTTTTCCCCGATTTTCCACAGGTGATGATACAAAAAGCACAGGTCTGTCCTTAAGTTTTAATTGTTATATAATTTTTAATTTGAAAGTAATAAAACCCGTAAATATAACATTTGAAATGGACTTCACCTAATCGTGCGTGCGTTAGTTTGAATCGAAATCTCTAGTACGCACTATCTCCATTAAATACAATTTGCTAACTACCTCAATTTTGAAAAAGGAATGCAAAGAACTCTATTCTCAAGACGGAATACTTTTCATACAATTCAAATAGCATGCAATGAATCCTAGCTACATTAGACTAGAACTTCTTAGGCTAGAACTTCTCATTCGATCAATCAATTATAGATCATTGACAATCAATCCATCATTTATTATCAATTAGTAACACAAATAAAAATACACGAATATTCAACGCAATATTCTCCTTATTGACGAAAGTAAATCTGTTCGTTCCGTGTCCCATCCATGGGCAGATCAGAGCTTAAGTTTCTAGATTCATGGTTTGTCGATTAATTTGATTCTATAGCTAATCGCACTAGTACAATTTATTGTAGATTGTTTCTATGGCATTGGTGTTGGGTACCGTGGCAATGTAAACATCACCCGATCTGGTCGTACCTGTCAGGCGTGGAACTCACAATGTCCTCATCGTCATTGGCGTATTCCTCAAGATGTCACAGATAGACATAATGACTTCAACATGTGTCGTAATCCAGATAGCAGTGCCCCAGATGGACCTTGGTGTTATACCACTGACCCTAAAGTTCGATGGGAATATTGCAACGTGTCGAAATGTCCTCCAAGAGGTATATTGACTTCGCTCCTGTCCAGTGATGAATACATTATGATGAGTAAGAACACGAGAGTAACGATGAGTCTACGAGAATATCATAATGAATTTTTTTATAATGGAAGCTATTTTTCATGTGTTGATACCTGTCTCGGCCTGTCGACTGTCGTTAGACCTTAAATAGCATTTGGTAATTTATTAATAAATAAAACTTATGGATACGCTTGTCTCACCAGTTCCTGAAGAGGCCCCTACATTCCTAAGAGGTTATCCTCTCAATTCAACTGCAATCCACATTTCCTGGAATGGCTTGCCTCCATCCCGCCACAAAGAACAACTGCTGGGCTATCGAGTGAGATACAGACGCCTTGGCTCTCCGCTGTATGAAGAAGCAAATACTGCAAGCAACATGACAGAGATTGTTGTTCTCAATCTTGTTGCACAGACGAAGTATGAGATTGAAATAAACGGATTTAACGAAATTGGACATGGGCGAACGAGCAAGATCCTGGTCATAAAAACTTTGTCATATGGTAAGTCGGAAATGATAGCTCTGTTTCACATACATGCAGAGTATCATATTATGTTTTTAAGCCTAACACCTCCTCTCCTCAAGAATTCAATCCCGCCGAGCTCTTTTTTCAGTACTATAACGTCTTCAAGTTCGCCTGTTGATGTTTTCGTACGTGTAATTGCTCTGTCTGTTTCTTTGTTTCATTTCCAGGTGAAATAAGTATTGATGTAAGTCTGCAGTTGGTGATGGATGCAGATTTCAGCAGTGATCTTTTGAACCGAACCAGCAGCAAGTTTGTGACAATGGAAGAGAACATCAAGACTTCGGTACGATAAGCTCGATTCCTAATAAGGAAAGGCTTGTTCGCACGTTTACATGTACATTATTTTTAGAAAAGACCTGTATAAACTGTTGTGCAATGTACATACCGTTTAGTAAGGTTAAATTCCCGTTCATTAACATCAACAACAACACAAGCTATATTACCCGAAAAACTATTGGTTACAACAAAAGATAATTAAAACAGAAAGTAGGAAACTGCTTCAAGGTCCTTGAAATGTGAATAATATCTAAATTTCATATTATAATTTTGAGTCCTCGTCGTACTTGCTTTAGCCCCATGCACAGCCGTTCTTTTTTTTATTTAAAGTAGCAGACTGCTAGATGCACTGAAACTCAAACAGTTTCCTCTTTCTTTGCAGATAAAGCACCACCTCAATAAATCCTCAGTTGTGAAGTTATATGACGTCGAAATTCTGCGGTTCAGGTATGTTCCATTAAATCACCATCAGCGCGGTAGAGTAACACGACACCGTCTCACCATCCGCCAGCCAACTTACTACCACAACCTCTAAACTCTCCAAATAATGATTCTAATCAATCTTTTTGTGTCATTTTTTATCATAAATCCATAATGCAAATATTGGGTGAAGCGTTTACGAATGTCGTTACAGTTTATGCGATAGAACAGTAGGGTGTATTATGCATACGTTCATCACTTGTTTACCAAGTAACTTCAATCTATCAAAGGACAGTGGTTGCAAACCACTATGCCGAGCTACTTCATGTGGCAGTAGCAAGGAAATGGCGTGTTATTTCGTTTTAGTAATGGAAGCGTGAAAGCAGACGTCAGAGTCCTCGCGATTATGAATACAAACACGACCAGCATAGATGAAGCTATTGACCAGTTAATCGACGGACTGGATTCCTCATTGGGGAAAGGACTTAATGTGACTACCTTAATAGTTCTCGGTAAGCAAAAATAATTCAGCAGTGATGCCCTTGAAATGTTTTTTGTAGCAAGACACGTTGCACCCCTAGTACCAAAAAATACTGAGTGACGAAATACTGGTAGATTAACAGGAATAAATTAGAATCACATCTAAGATGAGTAACTATACACTGGAGCCACTCGTGAATCACAAGCTGTCGTCAAGTAGCCAGTATGTTTGCCTTACTCTTTAAATGAAATATGACTTTTGCCATAGTTTGGCGTTTCTGTAAGTGAAAAAGTCTTCTCCATACTAATCTTCCACAATTTCATTGATATTATATTTACTTTATTCTGTGTTTGCTTATTTAAACATTAAGAAAAACCTCCGCCTCCTAAAGACTTGACAGTGATAAATGTACAGACTCGGTACATCGTGTTTGCCTGGGATCAACCAAAACACGGCAGCTTTTACCAGATACACAATTATACCATAGAAAGAAAAACATCAGCCTCCGAGAACTTCACAATAGTGAAGACACAGCCATACGATCAGACAAGAATGACTTTCAAGGATCTAGAACCTTCCACAGAGTACACCATTCGATTATCAAGCAACAACAGATATGGACGGTCGGATGGTATTTTGCTAACCGAAGGAACACTGCCAGGTAGGTGTTATCGCTGTGAAATCGTCTAGTATTACGATAGAAATTTTCCTACAAGACCGGCCTTGTAGGCGACCATCTCTACATATAGCTATGATTACCCTTGCGGTCAGAAGAAGAAGATTCAACTTTTAGTTACCATTCTTGCTCTATGCTACAATCAAGAGCGTGATTGAATGATTGCTTCACCCTCTGAAAAGTAGCCACAAAAAATCAAGGAATGAACCAAAAGTAGCCAAAATTTCGCAGGCAATTTAATGCGAAGAACAGCATCAGCACAATACAAACAAATAAATAAACAGTAAAATGGCCAAGGAAATGTGCTATTATTGTCCAGGCGCGGTGGCTGACACTTGAACTCTTTCAATGACAGGGCTTACCATTAAGGAAGTAAGTAAGTGACTTTATTTAACCAGGGTAGCCCATTCAGTAACGAGGCTGGTATCCATAGGGGCCCTGGGGCTCACGTATACAGTCACATTTACCATTCAAAGCTCAGAATAGTCAAGTATTACCAACAAGACTGTGACGGAACCCTTTATTCAATTTTTCTGTTCGCAGACAGATTCATCAGGAATTTAATCCTGATCATCGTGTTACCTCTGACATTAGCTGCGTTGTTTATCGTGGTTGTTTGCCTCAAGTTCAGACCAACCTGTAAATCGAGTTCTGAGCAAGCTGAGGTCAGTAAACATGGCATACTTATCTTCAGCAAATGTCACAATTAAATATGTACCTCTTGATATTTATTTGTGTTCGCTTAGTTGCTTGTTTATTTTCCATTCAGGTCAAATCGTCACAAAAATTAAATGTCAAGAAAACAAACCTTTTTTTTCTAGATGGAGCTTTGGATGCGCGGAGATTGGGTTGAGATTCGTAGATCAGATATTACACTTAAAGAGAAGTTAGGGGAAGGTGCATTTGGCGAAGCTTACAAAGGTTTGGTACGGATGGATGGAAAATTGAGGGAATGTGCAGTGAAAAAGCTAAAAGGTAAAGATTCTGAACTGTCTATATGTTAGTCACGTAAATGTGCTGGTTACCTCTTGGCAGAACTAAGGACATTAAGTCCCTGTTCTTAAAAACTACTTTACCTAGCGACCTGAGAATAATTACTTCAAAGTTATTTTAAGCTCTCGCAAGCAAAGTAAATGGGGTTTCTTGGCGAAATTTGTCCCAAGATGTAAATAGGGGTGGGGGGCGGGGCGGTTGACACAGGTGTTTGATTATAATACGGTTTGAATGCACAGAAGTCTTCACGGCGTGGTCGGCCGTAATCCTTTTTCACGAGGCCGCGCTATTTGATCACGATACAGCAGAAGAAATGAGACACGAAAAAACAGAGAAAATAAGAGAGGACTAACAGACGGACAATTAAGAATTGCCCCTTGAAGTAGAAATTCTTTACCACGTAGTTCTTCTTTTTTCTTTTCCTTCTCTAAGATTGCACATGTACACACGGTTTACAGCTCGCTTTATTCGACCCTGCAATTAAATAATTTAAACTGAACATTTTTTTTTTACTTCAGCGAATGCTACAGAACTGGAGAGGCGGGACTTACTGAACGAACTTCAAATCATGGTGACAGTTGGTGACCACCCTAACGTCATAAGTCTTATTGGAGCTTGTACAAAGAGTGGTTTGTATAATCAAGTCAGCTCTGCTTGTTAAACGTCAGGAAGAGATACTAATCACACGTCTAGATCTCGGTCCACCTGCTCATGAATAGATCTGAATATACGAAATAACTTAAAAATTATTTTTCGAGCTTCGTCCAGGATTACTTGAAATGATTAACGTAAACTTAGCTTTTGGATGCCATAAGTGCAAGTAGCGGTAGCAGTGGTACATGTAGTAGTAAACTGTACTCCCGAACTTAGTCTTACAATTTTTGCATTTGTTTTCTTCCACTTATTAACTTAACGTGACCAATAAGACAGTCTAACACAGCATCTTTCTGACTTGATTTGGCTGGAAAGTTGTTGTAATATCTTGGTACTTTAGTATACATTGATCATGAATATTGAACTTGGACCATTGCGTACTTGAGTAAGGATTGTGTGGGAGCTTTATCTTGAGCAGCAGAGGTCAACCCTTTCACATGTCGGCTCTCATTATAACTGAGGCAGCCCTAAACCACCTGAGGGTTTTATATAACTACTGTTACTGCATGCTGTTTGTTTTAATGGCGATCTCTAAACATGTTAATGTTTTGATCACAACTAGGGTCAATATTGGTAGTCGTTCGCTTAGCTGAGAATGGTTGCTTGCTGAATCAACTGAAGAAAAACAGAGAAAATCCATACATTAACGTTGAAGAAAAACATGTGAATTTCTCACACACCGACAAAACCAGGATCGCAAGAGATGTAGCCAGTGGAATGGTGCACCTGTCTAGCAAAAAGGTAAATATTTGTTATTCAAAAGTTAAAACACAAAATAAAATTAATAGGAAGAAATGTTGGAGGAGTACCCATGCGGAGTGTAAGTGTAGGTGGCTCATTAGTTATAACAGTTTCCAGTATTTTTCAGCACTTTGCCCTCGTCCTCGTTTTCAGTCGATGCTGCAGTAATAGTACCAAAAAAAGTTCCCAATCATTCAGTGGTAAACAATTTGTGTTGATGACGCAAAAGGGAACCATTACAGTAACAGAAGAAAACTTTAAAAGCAAAACAATTTTAGCTTTATGGGCTTACGATTCAAAACCGACTCTGGCGAGCCTCATTCTTTATGACTGATTTGTGATTCAAATTAGAATGCAATTTTTTGCAAGCTTAGTAAATTTGTGGGAGCGGATTCAGAGCCACCTTAAAGTTTTGGTGTTTCTGAATCCGCGCCAAAAAAAGATAAAAGTTCATGACATGTTGATTAGATTTCGATGACAAAAGCTGTACGCCTCTGAATTCTAACAAACTCCGCATCCAAAACCTTTTACTTTCCTAGTTCGTCGTAATAGTGTGATTATATTAATTCTAAGACATTTTAGTCTGATAGTTTTCTTTTGTTACTTTGCAGTGTGTTCATCGTGATCTTGCAGCAAGGAATGTGCTTCTTGGCAAGAATAATGTTGCCATGGTTTCTGATTTCGGCTTGTCACGTGATGTGTACGAAAGTGGTGAATACGAGAATACATCCGGGGTATGGAAATATGCTTTTATGATTACAGCCAAACTTTTCGTTCGCGGACATTCTCGGGACCAGAATAAAAGTGTTCATTTTGAAAGGTTGTTTGCTTATAGGAGGTGGCAAACTTACTTAAGTTTCCATAGTTGGCGGAGATACGACTGCACCATTTTCTTTTTTCTAGCTAACTTTGATTCGATAAAATCGATCACATGACAGTGTTATTAAACAAGATAACAAAAATCGTTCAGATCAAATCGCTGAATTTAAAAAAAATGGTCGAGGCAAAGATATCTTTACTTGAAAGTTACTCCAATAAGATTACGTGATGACGTCTAGATTTTTCCCATCTTTGGGGAAGGCTGCACTTTTGATCAGCGGTTTTTGTTGGGAGCGTCATTTTCCAAACCTTTCCAAAGGTCTGTTAAATTATTAAGTTAAAATAACATGGTAATTCGTGCTCGACGAGCTAAAACATTTCATTTATAGCGGCCAAAAGTCTTTCGAATCTATTGTGATTTCTTTTATAAAAAGGTTGCTGTCACTTTTCACTAAAACTGCTGTCACTAAAACCTTCAGGAACGCTAAAGGTTTGAGAGCAAGAAAAATAGCAACTTCAACTACAACTGTATGCAAGGGTGCCTATATTTGTTCACCTCGTTGCAAATTCTAGCCTCAAAATACAACCTGCATTAATTCAGCTTATTCTGTTGAGTTGTTTTAATGCTCTGATCTTTTTTTTCAAACAAGGGAATGTTACCAGTTCGTTGGATGGCTCTTGAGTCACTGGAGGATTACACTTACAACACTACGACAGATGTGTAAGTTGAGCACTGCACGCGCTCAGTGGAGCATGATAGGCCCTTAAGTAATATATCAAATACGTGAGACGGTGTTTCATCGGGATATCCCAACACCGAGAAGAGAGTTGAAAATACAACGCGCAGAGAAGTATTTTTGACGAAGTTCGAGGTGTTTGGATAGCCGATGAAACACTGTCTCAAGTGATTGATATATCTTCTCAATCAAAACAAAATATAAGGGGTTAACGGAGAAGTAAAATCGCCAAAGTCATTGCTAATTAAGACCGGGTATCCAAACCTCCTTCACGGTTATGATTTTCTTTGTTTTAACTTGATGAATTATTAATGAGTTTGAGAATGATGAAGGCAAAGCAGCCCAGCCTATTGCAAACATAAATTCCTAAGCATTAGGAACACCTTTTATAGATAACTTTTATAGATAACTTTTACAGACAACTTTTTCACAGATTTTGAGCTAAAACCTGAGTAACGAACGCCTGACAGAGCCCACTTCAATCAGAGATCCTGGTGAGCCAGAATTAAGAGCCCAATTTGCTTAACAAAAAAGCAAAAAGACAAACCAAAGTTTTCCCATTGTATATAAACGAGCCTGTTGCATTGGCTACTTTTGTCACGCATTGGTGTTGAATTGTTTCTTTCCAAGGTAACTTACGAATAAGTAAAATCAACTACCGCTAGCAAATCCATTTAGTTTTCTCTAGTTACATTTGTGAAGGTGGCCTATTGTACATTATAGCATAGCCTTAACAAAGCGCGCTTTCTGATTGGCTAATGCCCGATTCATTTGCCCGTTGGTTGCACACTGACGTCAGTTTGTTTATTTGTATTTTATCTCGGCAATTTTTTCATCGAATTTACCCCTTTTTAAAACATAATTCCTATTTTTTTTCCTAAAATATGAAAAAATCTAATAATTCTCCCGGAGATGAGGAAGATAATTTCTGTGAGCTACCAAATTTCCAGCTCAAGTTTGTTGCCGGCCCTCCACGTAAGAAATTTGCTGAATTAAGCGAGCAGGAGTTGAATCAGCTGGTTGAACAGATACTCGAAGAAGACCAAGAAAACAGCAAACTGGTCTGTATCAACCTTTCGAGGTTAGTAATGCATAGCGGGAATTTCAGAGAGAATTTTTCAACACTCGAGCGCTACTGACCGCAAATGAGAAATGCGATATGGCGGCGGGTGGGTTGGCGGGCCACGACTTCTCAGTACGGTGACATTTGTACATTCGCCGTTCTCTTTTCGGTCTCTTGACCTTCCTTTGCTTCACACGTGTTTATGAAGAGCACTTTATGGTGAGTTATTCGGGCCCGGCCGTTTGATTAGAACTGTTTGCAAGTAAAGCATGTTGCTTCTTATCACGGATATCATATAATATAAAAGAAAACTCGGACGAAGATAAATATGTCAAACTTTGATATTTTTATCGTCATCCGATTTTTCATCAGCGACTGCCTTAGCTTTACTTCGAGAAAGAGCGCCGTGATTTTCCAGTCGATTCCCGTCGATCTCCTGAGTAGGTGTTCTGTAGCAAGCTTCGCCGAAGGAGTATCTCTAGTCGGCGATCTAGCGTTAGTTCTTTCTACAATCCCGAAGAAGTATTTCTCAACACATTTGCTGGCAACTGAAGACCGCAAGCCGGCGGTCATGTTACGGGCCCCCGTAGGCGATCTATGAGTGGACGGAAGGACTTTTTGTTAAGTTTGCCCACGGGCGTTCTTTCGCTTTCTCTCGCCGCACTTCTCCCCTATCATTTTTTCGCTCGGCGTTTTTCGCGCTGCGCCCCAACTAACTGAACGCCTGGAAGAGGCTAAATCTTCTGCAGTATGATTAAGCTAGAGTAATTTAATACCTTTTGTCAATGGTTGAACCGGGGCTACCGAGTAATTCCTTGCTACTTTTTCCCCTCGCACCCGAAATTATTTTCCTATATAGGTTGTTTTCTAAAATTGTAACCCCACTGAAAAATACTGTATGTTGTGATAAGTTAATAAAGATGGTGAATTTTTAAGCTCGGTAATGAAATGTTGATTAATTCACCTTCACATTTCATTACCGAGCTTAAAAATTCACCATCTTTATTAACTTACCACTACTCACGATGAATTCGATAGNCCGGTGTTCGGGAGGTCATGGGTTCGATTCCTGTCGGGGACTCAGAATTTTTCTTTGTCCCACGCTCGTGCCATGTTGATTAATTCACCTTCACAATACTGTATGTTGTTGTTTATAAAGGCGTTTCCTTTCTTTTGCAGGTGGTCTTTTGGTGTGCTACTGTGGGAAATAGAATCTGAAGGTAAACATGTTCTAAGTAATTATTGTCAAAAGAGTTAATGTTATTATAATCATTGCTATTTATAAACCAAATTTCGTGATAATATCTTTATCTTTTTGGCTCTATTTTGCTCGGAAGTTTGAATAAGCTCGTTCCAATCGGGAGATAAGAAGCAAATATCACGAATTTACGTTGAATAACGCGCCAGTGATAAAGTGCAATTGTACATTTATATCTTAGATACTAGAAAAATATGTAGGGTAAAGAGACCCTCAACTGATTTGTTGCTGACTACGTTACTGTTTGTTTCTTGTTAAGGTAAAATGCCGTATTCCGGTCTTGGAGGGATGGAGGTTGTGGAATTTATTAAGTCAGAAAAACGATTATCAAAACCGGAACGATGCCCAGATGAAATGTAAATAAGATGTTTTTTTGAATAAATAGCTTCTACATGTATGCATAGATTACGACCAGGAAATCTAACAATCCGGTTTATTCAGACACGCTATAGTAGCATGTTGCATTTAATGGCCCTTGTAGTTATTGGATTGATTTGACTCTTTAACGTCTACAACACTCACCTCAACACTTAACAGGTGGAATTGGGGCGAGGCTGCGGACCTATAAGGGCCTGTGTCTCCCCTCTAGTTTGCAGACTAATATTTCTACTGGGCTTAAATTACATAGAAAGCGGCTATCAAATTCCAATTAACAAGGTTGATTTAAATACTTAAATGTCTGTTGTCACTGACTAAAGAAGGGTTGAAAGAAGGTTACAGTATTTCAACCGAAACGTCCAAATCAAGCCTTTTTTAGTCAGTGACAACAAACATTTTGGTATTTTTATCATGGCTGGCTACAACTGCAGTATTTTTAAAAGGCTGATTAACACTAACAATAAATGTGACTATATTTCACTCTGAAATGTTCTTAACTAAGTTCTTCATTCCGTTCAATTGCTTGAACGAATTGAATTTTTGCTGCTATCATGACAGTTACGACATCATGATGTCATGCTGGCGTCCAGACCCCTCAGAGCGGCCTTCATTCGCCGAGCTTGTGACGTCACTGGAGCTTCAGCTGCACAGCAAAGAAGTAAGAAATGAACAGTCTTTTAAACTTGTGCCGAGAAATGATAAAATAGACATAAAGTGAACATATTAATGTAAAGAGAATATATTTATCTTCACTCGATTGGTGGGTTATCACGTTGTAATTCTTGCATTTACCTATATGCAGTACAGTTTTATCGAGTGGCCATCTCGACATCTTTATCAGCCTAGCTGATTTTCATTGTATTACTCTTTTATTTTGTGTTTCATTAGGATTCCTTGGAGGTTAAAAGCAATGAAGTTGAATCTGAAGGAAATATCAATTTGGTAATAGAATTCGATGACCAGAAAGAGGAGAATACTGCTATGTAGATGAGATAACTAATAATGACGGTAAAATTGACACACACGACAGTGAACACAACGTTTTTGGTAACCTTTTTTGGTGACTATAGAGTAAAGGATCTTCACATAATGTAGCATTTCAGCCCAAAACGCTCATTATAAAACGTAGCTAAAGAATGGGCTTCTGAGCTATGGCGCATGCGTAAGGGCGTAGGGCGGGTGGTCTTTTGACGCCATAATTATCTACAGGGTGACTTCATCTCTCCTTCTGGAAGATGACATCATCGGGTGGAAGAGCGTTTGCATAGGGATGTTATGATGTTGATGACAACATTTTCACCGTAGTGTATAGTAAATTCTCCCTTCGGAAAATGACATAGTCGTGGAGAGAAGCTAAAACAGAGAGGACGACTTAGAATAGTTCATCATAAAATGGACCCGTGTCCAGTTTGGCCTATTACTGAGTAGAAAAGGTAGAAACACATTTTAATTAGCAGGGTAATTTCATAACAGAATAAAATATACTTTGCATTTTTCTGCTTGGGAAATACTAATTTTTTAGTCGAAATGGAACTTGTCGGGGTTTGGACCCTAAAGTTGAATTTAGACTTTGAGTAGTCGCTAAGCAAAATAGATATCAATTAATTAGACAATTTGACTAATCAATGTTACGGTTTTAGGATCTCTGTGTCCTCTTATGCCTAAGCCATTGTATAATCCGCTGTTCTCTAAATAGTCTGTACGATTTTCCATGATTTTCTTAACCAAATAATAAATTATTTGCCCAAACTAAAGTTTGTACTTAATGGAAAGAACTATCCTTCTTTAGTTAAAATCTGTTACCTTATGGAATTTCAATGTTCGTGAAAATGACAATGACAATTAATTACCATTATGTGCAAATAACACGTTCATGATAAGGGCGATGTAAGCAAGGTTCGTTTTTCCTCATTATTTTCCGTGTGGCTGCTGATTATCTTTTGAAATCAATGGAAAGGGATCGAATACTGTTGATCACGCTATGGGTTTTGCAAGGGCTAGATAAGTGTCATGGACAGTGAAAGAGACTTGTTGTGTCACGATGACCGAGTTTATAAGCTTAATCATTTAATGAGAACAACCCAAATTCCGGCTAAATCAGTGCAGCTTTGAAATTGAGTGAGCAAGTGGAATTCAGTGCAATTTCAAGGTCACCATGGTAAACGTTACCACTCGCTCTCCTCGACAATGGTCACAGTTAATTGTCACAGCTATTGACAAAAACGAATAAAATTCGTCTCATTTGTCGTATTTCCTTTGAGCCTTACTTCGTGTACTGTAAATTATTTTGTAAAAGGTTCTCCGAGGGTCATTTGAATTCCCCTTTACCGAGAGGTGATTAAATGCTGTAGATAAACAGGAACTAAGAAAAGAGAGGAGAGGAACTGAATGAGACTTCAAGAAAACGATCCGAAATATTGAGCGGGCATTGACCAAAGACGAGCAAATATTTTAACAGAAGCCGTAATGGGCTTGGTTTGGATCAACAGCTAAATATCGTTAGAGTCATTCATGATCATTGATAGCTAAGCATAAAGGGACAAAGAGCTCAATTCAACATGTTGTACAATGACTCGGAGGGAATTTCGGTAAACCGCAAACCACTCCTTCCAGCTTTGTATTTCTGACTTTAACCTTGAGTATGCGATGTTACTGCCCGCTAGCTTCAGACTCATAAATTTGCTGTTCTTGATGTACAGAATTGATTGTTGTACTAAATATCATTTTTCCTAAAGCATTCAGGGTTGCCGATCGAGACAGCAAACCTTCAACATGTTCCCTTTTTCGCGATTGATCGATCTGCCTTTTTTTGTGTGTGTCCATTCCTGTGGAAAGTCGGCACAGCCAATGCAACTACAAAGCAATTCAAGTCTAGAATACCTTCAAAAAAGCTACATTCATTTTAATGAATGAGCTTTGAACAAAGTTTGGAATAATATTCATAAGCGTCTTGCAGAAATTACAGTTGACATCTTTTCTTTACATCGTAGTTATGCTAAATAAGCAGCTTCATTCTCTTGTTGTCCTTTGGCAGATAGACTAGCTTGTAATGCACCCTTGACACATGGAAGCAGTTCATGGCATTCTTCAGCCATAAAGTTATAAGAAGCATTCCAAAAAGTAAAACAAACTAGGAGTATGCAAGAATGCTCATGATGAATAAAGATAAACAAGTGTCACAGCAATTATTATAGTGTAATTTCAATTTTTCTATCCTTTTACGAATTTCTGCATGATCAACTTCCTACTTATTAAGAATGTCGCCAGATTAGTCTTTTTAGTCAACAGAAGCTGCAGTGCAAGCGTACTGCGAAAGTTACCAATATCCCTCCCGTCTTTGTGACTATTCTTCAGATTGCACTTCTCAGTGAAAGTCAAGATGGAACAACTGAAATATGGTTAACATGTTTGTGCTACTAATTAAACTAGGAAATCGGTATAAGAATCATTCCTTGGGGAAGGGAGGGAACGTGTAAAGTGGAGTTTAAATCCACGTCAGCAGTTTCAATATAAAATATTTTGGCACATTATCACTAAATTTGGTCGACAAAATACGCACACACACTTTTTGCGCGTGTTTATGGCCAGAGACGGAGCTTCGTCAATAAATGATGATTATATGGAAAATCTTGCGGGAAACAGGGAGTAATCCCGAGAGGAAAAGTTAGCTCCATCTTGCCCGCTCGAGTAACCAATCACAGCACAAGATTCGCGGTTCGGTTCATCTTGCCCGGAGGTTACCTGCAATAAGCTACAATGGCATTTTAAAAAGATAATAACAATATTATGTGGCTAGCATGTAAACTTTACTTCAATTTTGAAAGAAAGATAACCTCGATCTGGGACAAATTAAAGCGTGACGTACCTAGAAGTAGAACGTACTCTCTATACTTACCGTACACTATTTCAGTGACACTCTATTGACTTCATGCGTTGTTTGCCTTTTCATAATTAAACATCAAGAAAAACCTCCGCCTCCTAAAGACTTGACAGTGACAAATATACAAACTCGGTACATCGTGTTAGCCTGGGATAAACCGCTACCCATATGTAAATGTTTTTTTTTTTTTTTTTTTTTGTTCACATCAAATGTAAAAACGCTGGGTACGACCTGCAGGGGATTGAAATGGATCTACTTTACGCTATTTACCCGTGGTCTCTGCAAACTCTTTTAAAAAAGTTAACCGTTTAGAAAGCAAGAAGTACAGAAGATTGACGAGTTAGTAATCATCAATTTTGAGTGGAACTGTTTTCTTTCGTGCATTTTATAATGTAATATATGTACATGTAGTTAATGAGCCTTCATATATGAGTTTTAATAGCTTAGTGTTTAATCACTTTTTAGTGTTCGTACTTTTCCTTCACAATGTATTTTAACTTGGTTTCTAGCTCCTTCATGTACGGTCTACGTCTATAAATAAACTGTTAAATGATTCATTGAATGATTAATCGATCGATCATGTGATCGAACAGTTGATTAGTTGATTATATTGTCAGTGTCTACTTTAACCAAACGATCAATCTTTCCTACAAATCAGTCCTCAGCGACAGAAAATGTTGCTACGATGACAGTTCCGAGATCACAATGTCATGCTGGATTCCAGACCCCTCCGAGCGGCCTGCCTTCGCCAAACTTGTGACGTCACTTGAGGCCGAGCTGCACAACGAAAAAGTAAGAAACAAACGGTCTGTTATGTCTAAGGAAATAATAAAACAGAGATAAAAAACGAGCATATATTTAAAGCTTTTCTCTCTCGTAGCTAGGTTATTGAGCTGTGATTGATACTTGCAACTAAACTTTTAACAAAATTATCTTGTGATCAATGCATCATTTTCAAAAGCTGTAATGCGACAGTTATTTAATTGAATTTTTCCGAAGTGAAAGAACGCTTGATTGCAGTAATACTTGGGGAGGCCGAAAACAAACTCAATAATTTATATTGAAAATAACACCACTTTAAGCGATCGATATTTTACTTAAAAGTGAGGCATACAAATTTTCTTTTCTGTCCTTTCAGTTGTCTTATTCTCTTGTAAACTATTAGTTTTCCATTCATAGGTATAACATGCACTCCGAAGTACCCTTGTTGAAACATATGCCGTTTATTAGCCTAGTTGATTTTAATTGATGGAACGCATTTATCATCAAACGTCTTTATGTTTTCTGTTTTATTAGGATTCTTTGAAGGATAAAAACCCTGATATTGAATCTGAGAGAGAAGTACAAATCGATGACAACAAAGTTCAAAATACAGCCATGTAGATTAACCACATAGGTTTCAATTGAGCATGGAAAGCAATCAGGCCATTACTTCGGTTTTCGTTTCAGTTTTACTACGGTTTGAGAGTGGCTGAGTAGTCTAATTGGTAAGAAACTGGTTTAAGGTTTTGGTTTTACGACACTCAACTGAAAACCGCTCTTTACTGGTGATAAAGTTGGTTTGGGTATTAAAGGGAAAATGAAGAGAAGTTGAAAGTAACATGCAATCAGTCAAAGAATGGGTATTTTGAGTGACCAGTTTAGTGATCTGTCTCTGTACGTGCAGCAGCTTTTGGCGTGCTCCATAAAATTGAATATTTTACTAAGCCCTGAGTAAAGGGGTTATCACAGACTTTAATTTGTGAAAGGAGAATGACTGAGCCGAAGGTTTTATTCTGCCGGGACACACACGCGAGTTATGTACTCGCGTCCGATTAGTTTCATTAACATAAGAATTGCGAGATGCATGGGCGTCGATAGCCGGAGTACAGAACGAATTCTTGTAGGATATGTCACCTGCACCGTAACGTCTTCGTGTCTGAACGTGTCTTTCCTATAAGCTGGTGGCTTATGGGAAATTTTCCATAAGCCATCAGCTTTCTCCATGATTGAAATAGATATTAAATCGACCTAGTTACCGTAACGATTCGATCCTCCCCATCCCCCCCCCCTTCCTTTCCTCCAACAAACGTCCGTCCAAGCTATTCCGATAACAACTCTTTGAAATACACTCTCGTCTTTCAATGTCAGTGCCCGGAGTTTAGTTTAATTTTGTGCTGGGAAATCGAACACAAGCTTATATTTCCCCCATTCGGTCCTATTTACATTATTACATATCTTAACACTATAATAAGAAAAACGGTGGGAGGGCTGGCCGCCTGAAATAGCTAGAGATAACGTAGCCGGCACGTAATCGAATTGGTTTGGTAATTTACTGATTTTCGTTGATCAGCTGATCGACACACACGAGTTTAATTCCCCGCTCGAAGCTAAGATGTCTGTCCGCACAAGTGTACTCCTCGTGAATAGGCCTAGGCTTTCTTCGCTGTTTTCTACAAGGAACTCTTTCCTATTCAATAGTCACGTTGAGCTACGTTGTCTTCCAAAATGTTTTCATGGGAAGTCTTTATTATGAACGTGATTCAAGTGCGATATTGCCTTTCCTAACTTTTGATCGCGTAGAAGGTGACAATGATCACCTACAAAACGGTAATATCAGTTCAAGAAAATGTTAACAAACCTTGCAGGTACACCTTTGCTATTTATCTTTCGTTCTTTGCTTTTCCACATGAACTCTGCAATCAACGCCAGTAATGCGACTATAACCCCAACACCCAGTACAGCGTACACTCCCAGCATGCTCATCAGATCAATACGCTTTGGATACAACACTGAAAAGTTAACAAAAGATCTGGTTAGGTTTCCTGACAATATCTTTCGAACAAACGTTTCAATACAAATTTCTGAATAGAGGAGAGGTAAAATGGTAATTGAAAATGTAGGTATGACACCACAATACTGTATTACAAGGCCTCGAAACTTTCTATGCCTTACGAACGACTAAGTATCCACGACCTGATCAACAGTTAAAGATTCGAGAGAATGCATAAACAAGAAACTAAATGTATTTTGACTTAAAACACTGAATATTATTGTGGTGTATTTGATTACCATAGGCAACGACTCATTCCTATAAAACTGTTTTCTTACTTGTCGCTTGCTCCTGGGGACACCCAGTTTTGGTTTTCCACCATTTCCTCTCCACGTTTTCAAGAAATCTATTCTCGTGTAGACGTAAAATAGCTAGTGTGAAGTCAGTGGTGTGTGGATCATTGTCTTGTAAAGCGAGTGCAAGTCCTTTAGCTGTGGTTAAACCTGAAACTGCAATATAGTAATAGAAAGTCGTCATATACATGAGTTTGGATAGCGGTTCTGAGCTCGAGCCTATCAGGCCGGCGTTTATCTCCAGTTTTTGTGGCATAAAGAAACTGGGAGTATTTCTACTCCCCCGTGGATGAGATTCTGGTCCATCTCAGGGCTACCACGGTACCTTGGTAGGTGGAGGCCATGTAACCGTAAAGTTGCCCAAGAACAAATCATAATGACCTGGCCAGAGCCCGATCCCGCGCCGCCAGCACCCGCTCCACCCAGAGTCCAGTACACTAACTATTGGGCCACGTGTCCTCCCTAAGTGTGGCTATGATGAGGCCGCTGCAGTCTTATATATCAGAGGAGCTAGATACCGATTTAATTTCTTGGCATGTGGAACCTCCAATCGGGAAATCAACAAAAAACAATTCAGTAAAAAATTGGAAAGTATGAATCTGTGAAAGGAACCAAACACAGGTTAAACTGGATATTCTCACTGACATACGTCTCATACGACAAAAAAGACCATGGATTCAGTATTTACCTACGGTGAGATCGCAGGGTGGCTGATTGGCCACATGTCTGAGAATTGGCCCGTCATCAATAAACACAAACTCATCTCTCTCTCGCACCCAACGACTGCCTTCAGATGTACTTTGAACTATGGTGTTTTCCGCTTCTATCCTTTGCCAAATCTTCCTGTGAGTTTCATATTGACTTGTCTTGAAAGCTTCATGGACACTTGACGAGTCGTACACTCCGACTTGATAAGAGGACTCGACAATATCCTCAAGGTTATTGATGGGACTCACGGTGTTCTTTACAGAGAAAAAAGCGGCCAGATTTGCAGTGTATGTTGAAACCCAGATTAGAATGCAGAACCAGTAGCAACCAGCGAGGATTCGACCTAAAATATATTAAGCTAATTAGAAAGGTATTAACAGAGCTGTTGGTTTGCTTCTAAGCAGCTGGTAACTGGTGGTTACATGTACATGTTATTCCAAGTTAAGTGCGTTATTTTGGTGTTACAAAAACTGTATGCTGTGCTTTTTGTGCGGTAACTTCAAAATACCACGACCCAAAAGTCGTCGGTGTAAAAAGATTCTTCCGTTTCCTTCCATATTTATAGTCAATCAAGGACTTAAAATCCCGCCTTGTTGTGCTGGGATTGATAGAGCGGATCACTCACGACCGAGTCAAGGACATTTATACCAATATAACACTATGTTTACCCACCACGGAATGTGTTCATACCTGGCAAATTTCTAGGCGTATTATTGGTTCCTTGTTGCAGTAGAGAAGCCAATGCAAACCACACGCCGTTGAAAAAACTAAATTCCTCCGATGTTGCTTTGTCGGTATCATCTTTGTATCGATAGGGGCTGAAGTAGTTTATCGTGAACAAGGTAATAGAAATGACCATTAAGCTGGTTAGAATAGCAAACCAAACGTAAGTTTCAAATGGAGTCAAAAACTGGAGATAATCAATTTTCGCTGTTGAAGATGTCTTCTTTAGTAACATCTCTTCAGTGTAGTACATGTAAGGGACGCTGAAGTCCACCACTTTATCTCGACGTTCAGTTATGGTGAGAGCCGCAACAGCGATGTCAGCACGCTTTTAATAAAAGTGAAAGTAAAACGTAAGTAAGTAAAGCATGCTCGGCTGTTTGATACGTAATTGAACTGCGCGTGGCGATAACGTAGGTGTCCTATAACTCAAATTGGACACCAGCGCGCCATTCGCACGTTCATTATGTCCACTTTAATTATATGTTGTTTCTTGAAGTTTTGTCTGCCTATGCAAATGTTTTTGATGGACGGTCCCATTCAGTAAATTAAGCTAAAGAAAGGTCCCTGCAGACTTACTTATCTCGGACTTTGTTTTTTTCCGGACAATTGATTTGACCTCGTCAGGAAATCCAGTGAGAAAAAGAATCACGTACGCACATGCAGTTTCAAATTGGGATCGGGCTGCTCACGCGGACAAATTTTAATTTACTAGCCCCTGAATTGTACTACTCGTGGTACAATAACTATTACAAATCTACTATGGCATGATAGTGTCCTATTTTAAAAACGGGAAATTGTAATCGATCACCTGTATTGTATTGGTACTGAGTGATGATACTGACGGATTTAATCATTACATACAAAGGTGTAGCCATATCGCTTGGCACTATCGAAGCAATGCTCGACCGAACTATCATAAACCGAGAGAAACACTTGTAAAATAAAAGTAGCTGTGAGGATATTTCAATAAATATGGGCGATCATCTAGAATGCTCCTAGGAAATTTTGTTTCTCATGTTCAATCAGAACGTTTGAAATGATGAAAAAAATGTGACCAAAGTTCGGAAAACCTTGACAGACAACATTATTAGCCGGTCAGCGGGCACCCAGGTTATAGTACTGAGAGAACTTGTTTGCAAACCTTGTTTACTAACTCGCCAATCATTCCATTCCAGGTTCCATTCTCCTTTTCAGCGCCGTACAACCCGTCCGGGGAGTGATAGATCTCATACGTAAACTTGAGATTTCTTGCCAGTTCATTCAGCAGATCGATACAGTATCCTTCATACCAAGCTGCACCGTCTTGCTCTTCCTTTTTTCTGATTACAAATGGTGCCGTCTGTTTTAGTGTCGTGAAAAAGAAGACAATAAGATTCTTCTGATACACACTTGCTTTTTTTGAATAAGCATAATAGCAACATGTGTTTTTTTTAATTAACGAAACCGATCGCTTTCGTATGACCTGCTGAAAACTAGGCCCTCTGTGCCTTTACATTAGAAATAGCTTCATGTTAGATCCAACTAGTTGAGGGACAAAAATTAAAGCCTAAATATGAATTAAACTTGTAAATAAGGATGAGTGCAAGGGTCTTACAGAGTCAACACATGTGTAGCTAACCATAATACCTCGGTAACGACAGCTCTGAGCTTTCGTCCCTCCAGGCTTCCTCCAATAAGTGTCTTGTCACTGTTACTTAGGATATTCCCAAACAGGACGGCACGTTTACTGGAACTCCATATACCTATCTACGTATACATGTATAAAAGCACAGTCCATGTCATAGTCTAGTCCATGAGCATATTGAAATCCATCAATAAGACCATTCTCAAGCGAGGATGAAAGCAATATCAGCTCAGAAAACCTCCGACAGAAACACTCTATTGTTCGTAAGAACAAGGAAAACTATTTTCCTAATTGTCAATGATTTGTCCTCAGTAAAGAGATTAAATTAATAAGCATTTGATCTCTGGTTCACGATTCAGCCGTCCGTTGTCTGTATCATAGAGGGTCCGTATAAAGAGGATTTTGTTCATACAAAGAAAGAATATCTTGGCATTTTGCCGAGTTGAAGTGAATTGTTTGTAACAGAGAGGTGTTTGTACGCAGAGGTTCGACTAATTCAAAATCATCTAGGTCACGCGCACATTATATTCTGGACTGATAAATGTAATCTATGGTAGCATAATTTTTGAAAAACTACCTCATGAACATAAGAATTTAAGAAATCATTACTTACTTTTTGAAAGGAATTGTTTCGGAGATTCAAAATATCCAGTTCAATTCCTTTTCGCTTGCCATACTCGTTAAAGTGAATAGGCCCTGTTGAATCATTAAGCTTGGCCTGTGAACAAATCAATGTTTTCATGTAATGCAATTTTTATGGCTGTTGTGAATGCAAATGAGCCCTCTGATTATATTTTGCACAATTTATCTTTAGTATTATTAATTGCTCGCATGTATGTGAACCTCTTATTGAGGTAGATTAAAACACTTAGGGTTTTTTAAACGCTTGTATAAGAGTAGTTATAGATTTCTGTTCTGGCCAGTCTTTTTTCGTATTTAATTTTTCTGGAAATTCTGCTTTGGAATGGTAGTTATACATTGCCCGAAATTCTCCAAGGAATTCAACAATTAATCCCCTCCCTCTGGTCCCCTTCCAGTTACGTGCTTTCTCGTCTCGGACTTCGCGTTCCATGGACTCGTTCAGTCACTCGGATTTCTGCCCTCCCCCTCCTCCCCACCGCCCCCAATAAAGAGTTCCAAACAAGAGGCTGCCTGTGTGGTTACTGTCTTCAACCTTCTGGGACATGACAGTGCGTCATTATGAGACATTTGTGTTAATGATGCTTGCGACTTCCACCAACTTACCTGAAAGCAATAATACACTCAGGCCCAGACCATAGAAAAAAAGAATATCATGGTTATTTTTTCAACTGGTTTTATGCAAGCAGGGTTTACAAAATGCTTTTTTTGCTCCAAATGAGCAACAGAATTTGATTTGTTCTTTACTCCTCGAGGCCTGGGAATCGTGCCAAATGAAGTAAAAAAGTTGACGAGTACAAAACCGAAGATAGGAGAGTGGAGGGGAAAAAGAGTCACATTCGCTTCACTTTTTACATCCACTATTTATACTCTCGTTCTGGGGAACGAAAAAACGTGTACACCAAGGTGACATTTTATTCACACTGTTTTCATAAATAAACAGATACAGTGTATAAATTCCATTGATGCAACTCAATAACACTTACACTGTAAGAGGTGTATTTACAGACCAAGGCCCTGAGTATTGAGTATCAATAGTACTTACCTTTCTCATACAGATTAACATTTTGACACCAGTATCAAATGTGGTCCTGTTCATTGATAAACAGGGTTCCATATTGACTGCATGGTTGATAACTTGGACCGAATCGTAGGCTAGTGGTAGGAGATCCTAAGGAAATTATCAACATGTTTGCTATCTGACTATGGGCTGCTTTATATTTGACTAACACACTTCTGTTTGTTCGATTATTTTTTTGTCATTTCTTCGTATCCACCCATAACTCGAACTCCCGATAACTCGGACTTGAAATCCCCTGACGGTTCGAGTTACCGGGAGTCAAACGTAGTGTCACTGCACTGCAGTAGTATCTCTGTGTTGCTACAGTTTCATCGGGATCCGGAGGGGGAAGTTTATTCAAACCCCGAGCCATTTAAAAATAACTCCTTTAATAATATGATTCCAAACCCGGAACCCGGACGTGAGATGACAGAATTGTATGAACTCGCGCAGCTGTGATACCGCTCGGCGATCTCTGAGATTCCATGGGCTGTGAGCAAAAATAGTACAGTCTCCGTGCGATTTTCGCTGAAAAGTAAAGGTCAGTTTCTACGCACTTCATTGATTAAAAAAAACGCAGTGAAGAATTCTGCTACTTGAGTTTTAAGATTGGAGACTGGATAAGTTATCAAGACAACCCTGGTGTTATAAGCGATCAGTTATTCGAAGCTAAAGCTTCAATTAGCAATTTAATTGCTAATTTGATATTTAATAAGAAGGATCTGATATACACACAGTGAAATGTCGATTTGTTGAGTCCTCGATTTCTCGAAATTACGATGACTCAAACCAAATATATTTCATGTACCCTTGATCTTTAGTCTCACTCGGATGTAGACTGCTCAGAGCCTCTCTTTTTCTCAGCTGGCGTCCATTTCTCGCGATTCCATCCGCATGCTCAACGATCGAAACAAAAAAAAAGAAAATAGAGGGCTGTGAACAGTCTAACTCGGATGTTCGAAAAATCCAGCGTCCACTGTGCTCATTAGTTGCAAGTTATACAATTCTAATACAATTTTTTTCATTCTTATTTCTTTTTAAATTCCAAAACGATAGTACAAGATGTATATCAATGGATAGAAGCCGCCTATCTTGTTGACATTCTTGGAATGGTTTACTGCCTTTTCTAGCCCAATGGAAGCTGAGCCCCGGATATATAGAATCGTGAGAGCTAAAACGATATTTTTCCGGTGGCATTTTATGTCTAATGGTACCTGCGACGAAAGAGTGGTAACAGTCTGAACCAAAACCATCAAAACAAAAACAAAATAAACGAAGCGTGTTTATCTATGGACCTCTTCACCTATGTTAGACAAAGGTAATGTCTGCATACGAGCCAACTGGCCCGCCAGGCCGGCTCTTATCCCGGTCTCTGTAGCATAAAGCGGCAAGGGGTATTTCCACTCCCCCTGAATGGGATGCTAGTCCATAGCAGAGTTACCCCCAGCATTAAGTCTGCCGGTACCCATTTGTATACCTGGGTGGAGAGAGGCACTGTGAGAGTAAAGTGTCTTGCCCAAGAACACAAAGCAGAGTCCCCGGCCGGGGCCCGAACGCGGACCGCTCGATCCGGAGACAAGCGCACTAACCGTGAGGCCACCGCGCCTCCCACCTATACTACGAAATATCAAAAAATCACCTCTATAGTTGAATTTATCATGCCGAATTTAGTAAATCCGCGAAGTTTCATGAGAACCCATTGCAAGCTCAAAAATACGGGACCCCAAATTTACAATTTAAAAATTGACAACTTAGGGGTGCCATATTTTTAGGATTTTGCAACGGATTCTAATGTAACTTCACATATTTAGAACGATAAATCGAGTAGTGCGGTTGATTTTTTGTTTGAATGAAAAAGCTGAAAAGCGTGACATCTGTAAAAAGGCCATTGACTTTGAGCGAATATTCGACGCTTGTAATTAAGTAAACTTGCTGCTAATATTGCTATGAGATCTCCTATTTTTACACTTAGAACACATGGTCAGTGTCAGTATGATCTGGTCCTTGTGAATGAATAAAATTTAATGAGAAGTTTGTCATGTGATCATACCTGGGACTGGATTATCCATTTATAGACACGTTTGTGATGGCAGGATTTCTATCGTAAATGAAGGTTTAAAAAAAGTTAACAGAATAACTCGCTTGATCATATTGTCACTTACTCTTCTTGTAGATTCGGATGAAAACGCAGAGATGTCGAAAGAGTAAATGCTAAACAACATGACATTACCTGTTGCAGCATAAGTTCAATGTTTTCTGTTTTTGTGTAAAGCAGAATAACTTCAGCTTCAATCTCATCTATTTCCTCCATTGTTTTCTTTGCTAGCAATACTGGATCGTCATTCGTGTCCAGCTCACTAAGCGGAACTAAGTTCAAGGTGTGCTTTGACGTTTGGGTTATGACCTTGAAATATACAACTTCATGCCAATTGCTCTCTAAAAGAAATCAAACACAAAACAGATGTTTAGGGTGTTTTTCATTGTCCTGCATCTGTATTCGAGTACAGTCTAGAATATTCCGTAATATGCACTCTAAACAAGCAGAACTGAATGTCCGTATCATAGATGTAGAAATATATGAATTTTGGTTTCTCTGGAAGCAAGTAAACTGTTCATAATACAGGGTTACCCATTTCGTAAAGGTGCAATTTATATGAATTCTCCTTTTATCTGTGAACAAGTGAACTATTCGTAATGTAGAGGTATTTCCATATCATAGAGGTGTAAATTACACGAATTTTAGCTTCCCTTGTTGCAAGTGAGCTGTTCGTAATACAGAGATGTGGTATTATGGAGGTGTCCTCGTACGGCAGGGCTCGACTTTATGAGAAATATCCTTTATTCGATACACAAAGAAAGGTGGAAGATAGTACTCAAGTTCGCAATGAACACACACTGATAAAGTGCGAAATAACGCCCATAATCAGGGAATCAGCCTCAAATATCCTTAAGAGACTATAAAGAGTGAATTCCAAGTAAGAAACGTCTAAGTAATAACTGTTTTTTTTTTACCATCAAATACAACTGCTATGTTTGTCCATTCAAACGTGTTGAGTATGTCAAGTGTAGCATGTGCGAAGTCTCTGAAGTCCGGTGACATCTGGATCGCTTTTTCACATTGGTCAGAGGGTCTATTGTCTCCATGGAAACGGATAAGAGGTATGCCAGCTACAGAAGAAAGTGCGCATGCGGACGATTTCGTGTCGCTTCCCTCGATTAGTGCAACGACGTTATTATCACGGATGGCGGAGGCTGAAATAACAATTATTTGAAAGTTATTGGTTTATGAAAAATATAACGATAAGTCTAATAAATTAATATAATTACATTACGTATGTTTGTTTCCACCATCCATCTATAATCAAACAACGAAGCCATAAGAAAAAGGAGCCCGAATTGAATTACCAGTAAAACATGATTTCGGCACGAAAACAACCTAAGTTGAGTACATACACACATACATCCAGACATCCATAAATGACTTCATTTCATCTCATATTCAGAGAGTATTGTATTTGGTTCCCTACCTTGTTTAAAGAGGTTGGAATTTTCCGATATGTTGAATCTTTTGAAAATTAATGAAACATTGCTCGAAGAAGAAGTATCGTTAGCAGAGAGTATTATAACATCATGTTCTGCCGAATTTCCATTTATAAGGCCTATAATATAAGAGATGGGATAAGAAGAAAATTTCAGCAGAAAAGCACAAAATGAAAAATAAGGAGAATCAGTGATTTGCAGTCGGCGACTTACCACAAGTAAATGCTGTCTTAGTCGTATATACCTTCTGCGCAAATAATACAGTAATTATGAACGCAATGTTCATGGTACTTCTTTGAGAGACGAACTCTGAAAGGAAAAAAATATATATTCTAGACAGCTACAAGTACAGTAGATCAATCTATTTTGAGTTAAATTACACATCTAAATAATAATTATTGTAACAATATTATCATGTACTATGACAGCCATATAATAAGCATACAAACTTTACATTTAACAATTGTATTGCAAATTCAACTGGTAACAAATTGCTTGACTTGTCGGAATTTAACGACAACGGGCGCATTTTAGTGGGAGCGTTTTTCATAATTTTGAATTTTCATATTTTGTTTAAAATTTGTAATTCTTACCACTAACTTTTACATTTTAAAATCTTTTCAGCCATTGTTTTCATTTAACTGTTGAGATAGCTTACACCACAAGCACTGCACTGCACAAACACTACACTTATCTGTTTGTCTGAGGGGTGACCCTCTTGTAAAGATTACCTTTAGGTTAATAGATGTCGAAGTCTCTTCTGTAAAAATGATAACAATAATAGCAATAATCTTTACTGCCTCACACTTAGATTAATTACAGGAGACGTATTATAAGAAAAGTAATTGTTGATTGGAACGTATAGGCTAAAGGAGCCGAAAGGTTTTTTTAGTTAGCCCCTAATAACTATTTTCTGAGCAGATAAATTTGAAATAAAATCTTTCATACCCAAGAAGACGAAAATGATGGCGGTATTTAGGACTACATGTGCGATCTAATCCTTCTCGTACAATGTTTTAATCCGTTTGCTGTCAACGTAATCAGTTATTTATCTTAACATCAACCAGATAAAAATATAGCATGTTGTTTTGAATTATTGCATACGTACATGTACCACTTGCACTCCCAAGAATACATATGAATGTCATATCATTTTATAATATGAAGTCTAGGCTCGGATAACCGAGTACAAGTCTGCACATGTACGTACGGTGGACCTATTATTGCCAGGAACAGGATAATTACCATGCGGGCACTTCTGCTTTTTTCGAGACTTGCAAAGTTTTTTTTTTCATTAGTCCGCAGTGCAAACCAAAATTAATTGTTATTACCAGCTTGAAAGCTGCGAAAAAATTAATTTCACTTGCGAATGTTGCTTACTGTTGTGGTTGGCATACCTGATTAGGTATAGCAGGATTTTGAGAAAGTGATAAATGAAGACTGCACAGTAAAACAATGGTGACTCCTTTGGAGATCCAATTACTTTATGATCGTGTTTCAGTTCACCTTGGGCGACAAACGTGTGAATAAATCTTCCATGTCGAGAGCCTATTAAATTTTTTTGTCGTTGAAAGGTATCCTGCATCGATTCATCCATTGAGACCAGAACTTAATTATAAATTATTTGAAGTTGCTTTTTTTTTCCGTTTTGACTGAGGATAGAAAAAAAGAAGTATATGTTGTTGTTTACAATAGGTAAAGTATTAAATGCACATGAAAATTCTGGCATTTTTTCCTTTACTAGTTATATCAATTTTGCGAAAACCCCCTGATGCCATTTACTCTTGCGTAATTATATCGATGTTGTTGACACATTCTTTTTTTGAGTAGAACGTATTTCGTAGAGCGCTCAACTCAATCGATTGAGGAGCATCAACTATAACTTCAGAGAAGTTCAGATCTCACGAGTAATCATCATTTTATTGCTACAGAACTGTTTCGTATGGTACAAGGACCACACTCGTCAGGCAATTTTAACGACTGAACTGTTGAAATTGGAAAGCTGGCAGTTAAATTTTCGTATTTAACTGCCAGCTTTCCAATTTCGACAGTCCAGCCCCACGGTTACAATTGCCTAATGAGTGTGGTCCTTGTACCATACGAAACAGTTCTGTAGCAATAAAACGATGCTTACTCGTGAGACCTGAACTTCTGTGAAGTTATAAATGTTGTTGACACCGAATTTCCTATTTACTTTGGTTAAACTGACATACTCCACTTAGTTTGGCTGAAACAGATTTCTCCTTTGGCTCAACCTCTCGATATTTGAGCATATTTATTAAGAATTTTCTAAGCATTATTTATTGTACGTATGAATGCTTACTTAAAAATACATATATTATAATATTTACTGCTCAAGAAACTCGTTGTTATCAGAGTTTATATTTTTTCTGTAGAGTTTAACCGTTACGTACGGTAGTTAAATTCTCTAAGAAGCCTGTAGTTTCATTTCAAGCATTAAATCTCATATAGTAATACATCAAAAATAATTACGTGTAGAATCAATGGAGGGAATTATACACCGTATAACACGAAAAAGAGCCTTAAAGGAGGAACTGGACCGTACTTACTTGTTTCGTTTTCAATTCTGATCTCAGTTTCAAAACATTTGATACAACCGATATCGTATCGATGGTCTGACCATCAAGTCCTAGCTGTCATTGAATGACAATTTCGCATCTTTTCAAAAGAGATTACCCCCAGCTGCTAGCCATCATTTCAAACTATCAGCATCGCGAAGAGCTATGTAAAGTGGAATCCAAGGTAAAATTAATATTTAGTATATACCACACAAGTGAATAGTGCTTTTCGCGCGCTCTAATTGGTTAACTCGGAGGTGATTAGCAAGTACTATTCACCTCCGAGCAGCCGGCGCGAGAGATTTTAAAATTTCCGACCGCTTCTCACACATAAAATAACGTTTTGGTCCGCTAATTATTCAGCTTGTGTGGTATATACTAAAACAATTATTCACCACTTGGGTGAATAATTGTTAATTACAATGATGCCATGATTTGTCATATACTCTGTAGAGTGAAGACCCTGGAGAGTCTTTGCATGTGGTCTCTTGACTGGGGAGTTCGTGAACTCGTCCCGGTCAGCACTCATCCAGTTTAAAGGCGCGTCACGTGATGTATTCTCGCCCAATAGAAAACTGCATTTCAGTTGAAGCTTTAACCGCGATGCTAATGAATGATATATAAAGAAACAGAAAACGACAAGGGACAAGTCTTCCTTCTGTTTTATTGATTACTTCAATGTTTCACTTTCGATGTATTTTACATTTCAGTTTATAAGGTTTTAGTTAAGAGTAATTGCTTACAGTACAGCTAACCAGTAGAACAGTTAGTGATATTTTGACGAGCAATAAGTTGCCTTTTATTTACAATCTGCTCTAAAGTTGATGTTCTCAGAACTTGAGAGTACGTTTTTATTATTGGCAAGTAGAACTGTCTGGGCCAAATTTGTCCCCACTCTTTGCATTACAACAATACATTCTTATTTCCATTTAAACAAAAATGTTTAAATAAATGTGCATGAATGCATTTACTATGAATAATACTTATTATTGGCTGCGAGGATACAACAATTTACGACAAGATCTTTATCAATGAGTTGATCAATTGTGACTCATCTTTTCACATCTATGGAATGCGATAACGGATTCAATTTTCGAGTTTCGGTATCGTGTTTCATGTAAATACATTCATTTTATCGATTACATGCCCAGCCTGAAACAACTTGGTGTCTACAAGATCGAGTTTTCAGTATACGCTTTCAGCGAGAATGATTCCAGATATCGGCGTTTGTGTTTGAACCTGACGCAACCCTTTCTAACAGTTTGACATTGATCAATAAGTGAACTTATCTCCCCAGGGCGACCTGTATCATGGAGATGTAAAGTAAATTGTGGTAAAGTACTTTGTAATCTAACGAGAACCAAATCCTCCGCGACTTGATTTAGAGTTTATTGAATGGAAACACTCTGTGACCTTGTTTAACCGTTTTGTTTGTCTGTTCTTTTTCCTAAGCTTTTAGTACATGAAACTTTTGATATTAATTAATGACCAAAGAAAAAGGATATAATTAAATGATGAAGAGAAAACTTTCCAAAGTGACTATCGAATAGCCACCCCAGGGCTATTATCAATATTTAAGCGTTAAGGATCTTCCAAAGTAGTGTGCTAGAAAAAGGTTCCATGATCGCTGTAACAAAACAAAAACAAAACTTGTAACTTCTGCAATCATACTTCAACTGTCTTAAACATTATTATTGATAAACGCCTAATCTAAACAAATGATCTCAGCTGAATTGAGTTGAGCTTCCCAACTCAGTTTACAAATAGCTAAGCTACTGGGCTTAAACCTCGCCAAAGCCCTACGATTTTACTTCCCTGTTTGTGACGGATGGACTTGAAGAGGACCAGGCTTTGGCCTACAGACAAAAAAAGTATCAATATGCGTTACATAAACAGGTATCGTTGGATCCGTTAATTGTATCAATCTGCAGAAACAGTGAGGAAAATAAAAGTGAAATCGAAATGAATCCCACCTTGGTAAGGCACTGGATTAAATAAAGATCAGAGAACTGGGCAAGGATAACCACCCCAGAGCTATTACCAATATTTAGGCTTAAACGATCTTCCGAAGGTTCCATGTTCGCTGTGAGCGAAACAAAACTTGTGGCTTCTGCAATCACACTTTAACTTTCTTAAACATTACTAGTTTCAATGAAGTTACTTATAGTGGCTCATAACGGTTTCCAGTGTTTATCAGCACTTCTTCTTTGATCAATTAATGCTATTTCTCGTTTTTAGACCACGCTAAGATTGTATCAAACAAATGCTCACTCATTACACTCATTAGAAAACATGTTATGGTCTTTTTCTTCCCCCAAAAAGAATACCATAGCAACAGCATAACCCGTTAAATACACTACCCGAAAGACATTTCTAACGTTTTATCTTCCTTAATGTTAAACAACTGTGGTAGAGGGTCTGGATAGGAGGTGCAAATGTCAGTTGTCAGTTAAAGTTTGGACCATTTGTCAGTTGTCAGTTAAGTGGCCGTAAATAATTAACTAAGGGCCTTAAATGGCTTAAACGTCTCCTAGTTGACACCTATTAAAGACAATACAGTCGAACCTCTCCACAACGGCTTGTACTTGAGGACAGGCTGTTGCAGGCTGTTGTAGAGAAGTGGCCGTTATGGGGAGGTAGAGGTTTAAAATGATACCCTTTTTATTGGGGATGCAATTTTTTTTTAAGAGAAATGCTGATTTTAATCGATAAAATAGAAACCAAACAGAAACAGAAGGAGACCAAAAAAGAGCGATGCGGATCAAGATTCGAGACTTTAACAATTGAAATAATGGGTTTTGTAAACATAGTTCGTCAGACATTGATAGTCTTGATCAATCCCAATTAAATACCAAACCCTAAATGATTTTGTCCTTTACCCACCCTCTTTCCCCTTTGCGTTTGCGCTAAATTAATCTCCCGCGGTTTTTGTTTCGCTCTTTCGCTCAACCAACCTGCGAGAAAGTACAGTTGACCTACACTTCTCTCTATATATATATAGATTTAGCCAAGCCTAAAAGTGGAGTTACTGGGCCGGTTTGTTCAAAGCCCGATTAAGCTAACCCAGGATATGCGATATACATTTTGGCCTTCTGTTTTCTGTTTGAATGATCTCAAACTACACAAAACATGAACGGTGAAAAACAATTCATACGAGAAAAATTTGTACTTCGGTTAACTTTTAATCCTGGTTTAACAACCCGGCCCTGATTACAAGTTAACCTGGCTTGAGCCCGCGATCCGATCGAAAAACCAACAAATGGTCAGTTGTTAACTTAAAAAAAAACACATGATCTCGATGAGTTTTAAACTTGAGTCCGCGATATGACCACGTGATACTGGTCAGCGGATACCCATTTTTGACCATAACATGGATGTCCAAGATCAAAGAAGTACGCTGTAAACCAAGGCTGCATGACTCGGTATTAGCTGGAGTATGGCCGCCACGTTGCACGACGTCGTCGTCGTTCGTCGTCGTCATCGTCATCGTCGGGCGCACGCGCCCGAGATCCATGCCGCTAGCTATATTGACCATGAAAACAGAGTTACATGGTTGTCTATTTCTGTCCATGCATGTGGTTTTGTTCTTATAGTTATGTTCCGCTTTTCGGGCCGCCGGAGCTCCGCTATTTACATCTATTTTGATTCGTTTTGGTTGATCTGTGAAAGTAAACGAGTTGTGAACAAACAGACTATGAAAATGTAGTTGAGGGACATGTAACAGGTAGTATGAGGGTCAAATTGTAAATGATTAAAGACTGATGGTTTCGGTCTAAAAACTATCTAAACAAGATGAATATTAAACAACAAAGGTTAAAGTACCAATATCTCTACCGAACTGAGTTATTTTCAATGAATTTCAAACGAATGACAATAGCTAAAGCCTTTTTTCAGTTGTCAGTAAATCTGATTACAAATGTCAGTTGTCAGTTAAATTTTCGAGTTTTTGTCAGTTGTCAGCTATTTATTTATTTTTATTTATTTATTTATTTAATTATTTGTCAGTTGTCAGTTAATCCCATCCAGACCCTCAAGGAAAAGTTCTTAGTTTTATTTATCTAAATTTAAAAAATTAAAATGAAAGCATTTTATATTTTACTGGAAGGAAGTATGAAAAGAGGGTTTTCCATGAGAATAATGGGGTGCACAACCCATGAGGTGCTCATGTGTGGGGTGCTAATCATAGTGCTATCATCCTTTTTACCTAGTGACCAACCTTCTGGCTTTGATCAGCAACTTGTGCTTCTCTCTTCTTTTCCACAAGATCTCCGCAATCAACGTCAGAAATGCAACAACTATCCCAATACCCAGGACAACATACACTCCCAGCATGCTCATCAAGCCAATACGCTTTCGAGACAATGCTGTTCAAAAAGAAAGAGAAAAGGTCTACTCGTATTGAACCACTTTCTCTACATGGATGTGATAAGAGGTCTATGGAATGGACAATCTTCCGTATATTGTAACCCAGAACTTGGTTTAGGAAACCTAAATTTTTCTTGTTTCATATGGAGGTGAATAATCTGTGGAAGCTTTAAAATCTTCTTAATTTTAATGATATTTTCCCAAGGACTCTGACAACCTCACTTGATGAAAAACGTGAAGCGATTTCTTCATAAGGATATTGTATAATTATGCTCTGTTGGCTCTCTCAACTTGGCATTGATCTTATAGATACATTCGTTACAGCCTTTGTACTACTAAGTTTGTCTTTATTTCATATCTATAAACTTTCTTTTAGGAAAACACACCTTGGACCGTCTACTCCTAGCAGGTTCTCCCCAGTTAACTATCACGCAGCCCGAGTTAACTATCACGCAGCCCGAGTTAACTATCACGCAGCCAGAGTTAACTATCACGCAGCCTGAGTGAACTATCACGCAGCCTGAGTTAACTATCACGCACAGAAATCGGGAGCCAATAATCTAATTGTTTTATCAGAATTCGAATTGAAATTTACTTTAAATAACGGTTTCCAATTACTTCTCGACGTATTATTAAACTTTGAGCAATCGGAAGATCGGTCCGGGATTGAATTGTCATTTTAAATTGTGCTCGCGCGCGTCATTTTTTCAATAATTTCGAGTTTTCTAAAGCCAAGAAACCGCAAATGTCCTACTTTCAGTCTTGTCATGAATGTAATAATCCAAAACGTTCATTCGAAACTTTGTAAAAGCGATAAAACCTCGCCGTTTCGAAGACGACCTCCAACCATTGGACGCTGATGGCTTTTATAATCCATCAAATATTTTCGCTTACGCGCGATTGGGTTAATCGCGTCACGTGACGTCACAGCCAAAACTGAGGAATATCCGAGTGATATTCCCCAGTGTTCAATATATATTTATATAATAACCCAAGTTATTCTCGCATTTTGACTGGTTCTCGCCTATGATCTATCAGAGGACAGATGCACGATTGACGTCATCATTTCAAAGTTTTTCCCTCTGTGTTTTAAAATGGCGGAAAGTTTTGAGAATTTAGATAACATTTTACATGACTGGGCAAAAGATAAGGAACAAGGAAGTCTTGTCCAGGCATTGAACAGGTACCAGAAGCATAGTCTAGCAGGAAGTAGAAAAATAAAGCCGTTTCTGTTTTAGTCAATGACTCAGAAAAAATACCCGAGCAGTCTCAGTCGGCAGTCGAGCGAGACTAAACCAAACACAAAATTAGTCTTGGTAAACCGAGAACCATTTTGTCTCGAATTTAACAAACCCAATAAACAAAATGTTTATGAGATTAATTTATTTAAAAAATTGAACTTTTCTCAGTCTCAAAATAATTGTTNTGGTGCGTCAAATGACGATTTTAACGGAATTTGGTAATTTGCATATTTCTTTGAAATAAAAGGATATCTTGCCAAAAAAACTATCCAGTAGTTTTTGTCGTGCCCTAGCCTATCTACCATAAAAATACGCGAGAAATCGAATTTTCGACCCTTGCCGAGTTATTTTCCATATTTATGGACAGGGACTCTTAAATTCTAATAGCTAATAAAGATGGTTCCTTACTTGTTTCCTTTTCTTGAAGACACTCATTAGCAGTTTCCCACCATTTCCGTTTCAAGTTGTCAAGGACATAATTCTCGTACAAATGTAAAATGGCCAGCGTGAAGTCATCAGCGTGTGGATCATTTGCTTGTAAAGCGAGTGCAAGTCCTTTTGACGTCGACAGACCTGGAACTATTTAAACAGAGAAAAGCGATGAATGCTTGAAATATATTCCACTCACGCATTAAATCACAGTGTTCTACCAGCAAACTCATGAACTTCGCGGTGAATAATGATTAGTGCTTCTGACAGTAAACTTTCACAACGATCTTTTCTGCCCACAGCAGAAAGGTTATTTAATAACTGTTAACCAACGCAGCAAAACCATGTTAGCTAAAGTTGACAGGTATAAGCCAACTTTTTCGTGACTTCAATTGAACTTTTCGCAGCATTCGAGATTAAAACTATCACCGACCAAAAAAAGAATCAAAATTTTAACACAATCAATCTGGGTTAGCTGAACTAATTATTACAAGCTGGCATAAACATTTTCCCTAATCAACAAATTAACCAGAAATTTCAACAACCAGCTAATTTTAGTTCAATTTTAGCACTCGCAGTTGCGCAGTTGTCAAACCATTTATGCGCCTGCAAAAAGGCGGAATTGCGAAAACAGTTAATTGATGCTCGACTCTTAATTTGCATAATCTGAACCACCACCATAACCCGTAACTTCCTTACGCATTTCACGAGTTAAAAGTTATTGTTTTTGTTGAGTGTGAGTCGCAGCAATTTATTCTATTATTTACCTACTGTCAGATCACAAGGAGGTTGGTTGGCGGTATATCTGAGAGTGGGCCCATCATTGATAAATACAAACTCCTGCCCGTGTCGCACCCATTGAATTCCTTCATGTACACTTTCAACTACTGTGCCTCCTGTTTGAATTCTATGCCAGATCTTTTTGTATGTTTCATATTGACTCGTCTTGAATGTCTCGTACGTACTTGCTGACTCCAATACTCCTACTTGATAAGATGATTTAACGATGTCTTCGAGGTTGTTGATGGGAAGAGCTGCGTTTTTTACAGTGAAAAAAGCGGCGAGATTGGCCGTGTAGGTTGATACCGATATAAGAATAGAGAACCAGTAACATCCAGTGAGAATACGGCCTTAAATTTAAGAACCAGAGAATCAAAACCTAAACGAAACAATCTATTTAAAATTCTGGGACACTGTTTTAATGAAAACTAAAGCCAATTTGTCTCTACCTGACAAGCTTCTTGGTGAATTGTCCGCTCCTTGTTGCAGCATACAAGCTAAAGAAAACCACACACTGTTGAAGAAACTGAATTCCTGCGATGTTCCCCGGCCATTGTCATCTTTGTACCCATAAGGACTGAAGTAGTTTAGAACAAACAGAGCAATAGAGATGATAAATAGAGTCCCAAGAGTGGCAAACCAGACGTTGTTGTCAAAGGGATTCATAAACTGTAGTAAATCAACTGTGTCGCTTGAAGAGGTTTTCTTCAGCAACATCTCTTCAGTGTAGTACATGTAAGGAACACTGAAGTCCACCACTTTTTCGCGACGTTCAGTTATAGTGAGATCCGCCACAATCATATCAGCATGCTTTGGGAGAAAAAGAGAGAGTGTGAGAACAAGATGAACAATCTTGTCAATAACGAATGAGTGGCCATTTACTGGCCGCCCAAATCACGATTCGTGGTTTAGCAAAAAAAAGGTCTCAAATTATCTAATGTTCTTTTTAAGATGTACACGCTGCTATTACAGACACATTGCCATTGCGGACAGAAGCTAAATCCCTAGCAGAAATCACAAAGAAATGCATGGAAATCACTCCCACCATTTAGTGCAGATTCCCTATTACGAAATTGCAGACACATCATGTGGTCCCTGACTAAAATTTTTATTTTTCTACTCGCCTCAGGTAAGGGAATCCGGAATCCGGAAACCAACATATTTTTGCTTTTGGAATCCCGAATCCAGCGGGTGGAATCTGGAATACACTTCTCTTATATAATCCGAAATCTATTTTCAGAGTATCACGAAACCGAAAAAATTACTTGGTATCTTGGAACTGTCGTATATGGGAGCAGACCCATCCAGATGATCGGTTGCCACCGCCGCTGTCAAGCAGGTCTTTGATCCCCTTGATAGATAGCTTGCGTTGCAGGCGTAAAACGGAAGAGAAGGAAGGGCGGGATAGAAGGAGGGGGCGTGGGAGGGAGAGAGGAGGAACACCTGCCATAAGAAACTTTTTTTCTTCATTTCTGCGTTCGCTGGCGAACGCAAAATTCTCATTAGCTCCTCCCTCTTCTACTCTCGTTACAAGATCTTAGACATCTTAGACATATTGAATGAAATAATTATTCTGCCGTCTTGGAATGTTTACTAGTTTGCACACCATTTTGACCCATACAGTATGATTATGTGTCAAAGTAAACATGTACTGCAAATCAAAGAAACGGGAAGATCGCGCTACTACAGACACTAAATGGCGGTTCCGAGGGTGTCCGCTATAACGAGAAATGTGACTTCCCACACGAGCAGCGGCCAAAAATTTCAAAAATCAGTAAAACAAATACATCTCCATTCATAAGGAGGTTCACTTATCAAAAGCAACAAACAAAGCAGACAATATGTTTAGAAACCTCGTTTAACAGCTCTCCAATCATTCCATTCCAGGTTCCATTTTCTGTTTCAGAGCCGTACTTCCCATCAGGGCTGACGTAGATCTCGTATGTGAACTTAAGGTATCTTGCTAGTTCATTCAGCAGGTCAATACAATATCCTTTGTATGAAATGATACCACCTTCAAGCTTCGTACTCATCATGAAAGGTGCATTCTGTTGAAAGAAAGCGAATTGACCATTACATAGTTCATATTAAGGACTAGTTTTCTCTAGAAGGCCTGTTTGGGAGAATCCTGACCGAGGTCGTGAGTTCAGACCGAGCCCGGTTTGGATTCGAGATTAGGAAATGGCTGGAAATCGGCCAAAATTGGTGAGAACACTATGTGGATGTACTTAGACAACTTCAAAGGATTGATTACCTCTGCAACGACAACTCTAAACTTTCTTCCCTCCAGCCTTTTGGAATCCAGTGGACTGTCCATGTTCCGCGAGATATTATCAAATAGAATGACACCTTTGGTTGAATTCCACGTCCCAACCTAATTTCGAGGCAAACAAAAACCTATCAAAATCCTTCTCTCATATCAGTTAGGAAGAATTCTCGTACATGAAGACAATTGTTTGGATAGGATTGTTCTTTCAACATGACTAGTTCGTCGACTGCTTCAGGGGAAGAAGAAGCCCAAATTGAAACTCGACAATTTGAGGCGGCAACGGAATATGCTTGTTCTCTAATGGGTCACTTACGTTTTTAAAGGAATTGTTCCGGAGATTTAAAATTTCCAGTTCAATATCTCTTCTCGTGCCGTACTTGTCGAAATGGATGGGGCCTGTTAAGCCGTCCATGTTAACCTGTTACAGAGAAGTATTTACCAATGAAAACCGGAAAATAAGAATCGTATAAGATTGCTGAAAAGAAAGCACCCGCTGGCCAGTATCATACCTAGTAATTAACAAAAGTATGGAGGCTATTTATCAATTGAATAATACAGCAATAATAATTGCGGATTATTAATTTATTCGAAGTATTCATTCTTTGAAACAATAAAACTAGCTGCGATCGAAGTTAGCCACGTAGAAACTCAGGCTTGTTACTGGATAGCTTGTAGTTTCCAAACTATCAAAATCTATCTGATGACTATCCTGGTAACCGAATTTAACATTTTCGGAGAATAATTCGTAGTGCATAACGCTTACCTTCTTCAGACATGTTAACATAGCTTCTTTATCATTTGAGCTAATAGAAGTTCCATTGATCGATAAACACGGCTCTGTGTTGATTGCCTGGTTGATAACTTGCACTGCATCGTGGGCAAGTGCCGCCATGTCCTAGGCAGATAATTTAAAACGTATTAAAATGGTTCTTGATTAAATGACTTATAAGATGCAAAGTAGAGCCCAACTAGGGTTTGCGATGATGGTCTTTTTGTTTTGCTGAAAAGAAAGCCTCGTGTAATCTTTAAGGTTTGCCTGACTCTCACCTGACCCCGAGTGTTTAAAGTTAAGATAACAGTCTCCCGAGAAAATTAAGTAATAGTAAAAACAACTGCAGTATTCACTAAAGAGTGTTTTATAATTATTCAGTAGAACAAAAACTGACATCGAATAGTTGCCGTTGATGTATGTTTTAAAACATTGGTGCAAGGCTTCAGTTTGTTTTGTATTTTGCCATCAGGAAAGTTCGCAACGTGTTATTTAACACATGCGAAATCTCGCCAAGATTCGGGACCCAATGGCGAAATTTAATCGTCTTCCCGCCACAATATCATGTTAGCGAACTTTCGATTTCATTTAAGAAATCGAAATATCACCGATATTACGTTTGAAACGCCGATATTGCGCTGACATTTCAGACAAATGTCAATGTCATCCGAGGCGAAACTTCGACGAGGTATCGGGGACATTTCGGGCGCACAACACACGACATTTGGCGAACTCTGCTTGCGTTAATTTTGCACAACACGGTAGTATTATCTATTCTCTAAATTATCGGATCTGATTATTGCATATAGTAACAAAAGTGCCTCATCGGTGTTGTTATTTGATTTTACCAGTCCATCGGGAGCTGAACCGTGACTGTATGGAAGCTTCACAGATAAAACAATACTGTCTCTGTGACAGCTTAAGTTCATTGGCATCTGCAGAGGGAAAAAGTTGAACACATGACATAGCAACAATTTCTTATCAATTTTTAGTTAAGTGTAGTTTCTCCTGCTCAAGATTTACTAATGCATGGTGAAGAAGAAACGATATTTTGGAATATCTTCTTCCACATCGTTTTAAAAGGTACCAATAGCAGTGAGAGAAATAATAAAATAAAGAAATTTTATAAAGTGAAAACAGTTACAAAGTCGATTTCAATAATCAAAGCCTGATCATGAGTAGTAGTGTCAAAATCAAACCTCTCTATGAAGTATCCATTTATACACATTTCTCATATTCTTATAGTCATCTCTTTGCTGACAAGGCTTCTGCAAACGATGAATGACAAACAAATTTTATTACTATTAAACTGTTTTATTACTATTAAACAGTTTGTCTCCCTCAATTTTATTACTATTAAACTGTTTGTCTCATTCAAACACAAAAAATGCCAAACGAAATGAGAGGCAAGACACTTTGTGAGTTTTTTGCCATAAAAACAGTACTTTAGTCGGGATTTGTGTCGTTTAGTTCGCAGTTTACTCCCGGTGCACGTGGCTGTTTCATAGAGACGTGTCAGGCATTAAGTTCAACTCTTTTAAAACAAATAATATTATTTCCCTTTGGACCAGTATGGCACACATGCTTACCTGCTGTAACATAAGCTCGACGCTTTCTTTGTCGGTATAAAGGAGAATGACTTGAACTTTTAACTTTCTGATTTCCTCCATTGCTCTCAATACTGGAGCTGTTGGATCTTCATTTTCATTCGGCTTACAAAACTGAATTAAATCCACAGCAAGCTTTGATCTTTGAGATATAGCGTGAAAGTATGCAGCTTCGTACAAACTTTCCTCTAAAAGAAACACGTAAAGACATATTGGTTGCAGGCACATCAAAGCGTTATCTATAGTTTTTCTCGGCTCAGTAAAAGTCAAATAAAGTCAGACTTGTCAGTGGTTAGTCGTTGCAGTGGAATTTGCTGTCACACCAATCCATTAACTGTGGTTAGTTCTGATCGGCCTTTGCATGACGTCAAATTTAAAAGTGCTGTGCATGTAGTTCATGACAGCTCTAATTTGGTGATTTGGTGACCGGAGAAGGCTATGTCCGGTTGTCCCCCTAGTTTCGTATCTCTATTCAGAAAACCGTCCGTCTTAACTGTAGTTAGAGCGAATAGTGGAGAAGTCACACTAACAAAATAACTAACTTAAGCTGTGTCTGTCCTAAATTTAGTTTAGTTTAGCCTTGATATCACCATACCCAGTACGAAACCCGGATGTTACAAAGTTACCCCCTATAAATGCATTAATGGAAGTAACATAGAATGTTAAGAAATCCCTTAAAACTGATCAACCCATCGTTATAAATTTGTAGATCTATGTAAATGCTAGTTACCGTTAAGTAAGGATTTTAGTGACTCATAGTGAAGGTAAAAGCAAGTATTTACCATCAAAAACAAGCGCAATATTTTTCCATTCAAATGTGTTCAGTATGTCAAGAGTAGCCTGGGCGTAGTCTTTGTATCCCGCTGACATCTGAATCGCTTTTTCACATTGATCGAGAGACCTTCTCTCGCCATGGAGACGGATAAGAGGAATGCCAGTCACTGTTGAGAGTGCGCATGCGGACGTCTTCGTGTTGCTTCCTTCGATGAGCACAAGGATGTTTTGATCAAGAAACAGAGAAGCTGAAATGAATGTGATTAATAAACTTGTGATCTAGTCTGTGATCGATAATGCAACGTAATACTAAGTTAACCTAAACTATATTGAGAGCTTAAGTCACAAGGAAATTGTTCTGATCTGTACTGTCTAACAAGTCTTCAACAAGAAGAAATCTGAAAGATTTGATAAAGAATCTGAACGGTAACGGGCGCGTGGATTAAATCGGTCTTGAAGTGCTTTTGTTCTTTTTCCATTATATAGTTACATCTACAGACTACCATCACTCGTGTTTTAACCTCAAGCCTGTGAGAGCAAAGTACTGAAAAGTATCTCACCTTGATGAAATAGCTTTGTACTTTCTGATGTGTTGTACTTGCTAAAGATTATCGAAACATTGTTCGAACTAGCAGTTTTGTTGATGACGGTATCGATAAGCGCTTCGTATTCCGATGAATATCCATCGATAAGACCTGTGTGTGATCAGAAAATAAACTAACATTTTATTTTGAAAAATCGATGATTAAAGCTACATTTTTTGGTCATAGATTGATATTGATTGCCTTGTAAGTCAAGTGATTATGGTAAACCTCGATATGACCCATGCAACATCAAACTGTCTAGTTAAGTCGTAATAATGACTTACTGACTTACCATAACTGAATATTCTGCTTGTCGCGTACGTCTTGGATAGGAATGAAATGAATATCAGAGCAATGTAAAAGCGTCCTCTTTCCATTGTAGACCTGTTGGGGCGAAAGAATCAAAATAACAAACTTCGAATTCATCTTAAAATCAGCGGTTTACAACTACATGGACTACTGAGACTACTTAGATCTATTGTGTAAAATCGATGCAAGCAATTTCAGAAAAAAACAGCTTTTGTCTTTCTTTACTTTCATTCGAACTGAAAAGTATACTATGATTACTTTAAAGCTCGCTAATTTTATATTTCTATTTAAGCTACTGACAATGAAGCGTGAAGAATTACGGGAGGAACAGAGAAAATTTCCACTCCATTTTATTTTCGTGACAACTAAATTTTTTTTTTACGCTTTAGAAGATAATAATGTTTATGTTTTCCTGTTCAAAAAATGTAACTGTAGGAAAAAATGTCTGTAGGAGAAAACGTCTTGGCAAATAATGACCTATTTGCCGGCTATTTTACTATTGCATATTCTTCATTCTGATGGCCAGAAATGGCAGCAAATAAAATATATTTAAATCTTTAACATGTTAAACGATCTTCTGGCTTAGCTTTTACAAATCCAGACAGATATATTTCTATTTTTGAAAGGACCCAAATTAATATCAGCTTGTCTCAGTAATTTTAATTCTTAAAAGATCCCTAAACAGGAATGACCGATTCTCAAACAAAACAGCTTTTGCGTGGTGGTGACTCTGTTTCATCGTTTTTGATCTTTTTTTTATCACAGATCTCCCAATACTATAGTGTAAAATAATTGAAATAGACCGACGTGGAAATTTTGAAATATCCTGAATCAAAATCAGCAATAAATTTGAAACGATTAGAAAACGTTAAATAACATCAATTGAAATTTCTTACGACAACCGCCAAAGAAGAATATTCAAGTGCAGTGGAAGGCGTCACTTATTTCGCTCATCCATGGTTTGTATTATAATTACAAGGTGCACCTTGAGAGTACGGAAGCCATCTTGGTCTTTGTGAAAGGTAAATTTGTTACTTGTGCTTTCACAATAGCCTCTGATGCATCCAGCTTGCTTGTCCTTTTTTACGCCAATCAACTAAGAACAATTATTTTTTACTTCCCGTGATACGCAATAAATTTCAACCTACTTGAGCTGATGTATGGCGATTGTACCGTACACATACTTAGCTTTACCCTTGGCGTGGAGTCGGGAAATATTATTTCAATCTTCTGTTAGGTTTGCAGCTCAAATTTAAATTTAAGTTTTCGAATGTTTACGACAAAACCTAATAGAGGCGCAAATGAGAACTGCGTCCCGGATGCCGGAGACTGGACACCTATAGCGAACCCTTCAAAATGTTTTGTTCTTTCATATAACCATTTTAACTCCCTCACAGTCGGTTGCTTTTTAACAACTATCAGGTTTCAGTTATTCGGTTCTTTTTTCGAATTTCTCTGGAAACCTGGTGAGCTTGAATATTTTACCTCACAAAACACTAAAAAGTTATTTTCCTAGCTTGAGCGTCACAAAGATCATCTGGTCTGCTACACGGCAATTTATGATGCTTTCTACCGAAGTGCTTAAAAAAAGAATACGTAAAACGAGCAAAATTTTCATACCTTTCGTTTGTGATTACAGTAGAATGTTTAAGTGAAAACCCACCTTCCTCAAGACATACGACACTTTGGTATTTTAATTTGCAGACAACTTGACATTCTGAAAATTAACGGCTACATTGAGCTAAACGGGAGAAATAAGCAAAAATTGAACGAACTATAAAAGAATTTTCCTCCTCGTTTTTTGCCGTTTTGGAATCCGAAGTCGCGTGGTTGTGCAAGCGTCAGTAACACTATTGTCATCACAAAGTCACTTCCATTACTGAACAGACGCAAAATAACACGGAATTCCAATAAGTTTGTTTTCATTCATGACGATCTCTTTTCACAAGTAAAGGAAAGTACCTGCACGACATCATAAGTGAAGAATGGTTACTTGTTAACATTGACGAATAACGCAAGAACTCTAATGTGTGGGATCTGCCGAGCTTTTTAAACTGATATGTCATAGTTCAGAGCGAATTAAAATACTCTGTAAAAAATGTATCAAATTTCGAAATATATATAATTCCAAAACGACTCAAATTACGGCTCTAAACTTACCGGAGGTCTGACATAACGTTGTAAAAATCTCTTGCATTTTCCGCAACTTAAAAACCTTTGGTCATGCACCTTCCAAATCAACGGTCATTTTGTATCTATACAGGTGAGGTGTGAATAGTTTCATGCGTGAGTTACATAATCAGCTACCGGAATAATTTTTTTTTTTTGTAGCATGATAATGATGTCAAGATGACATCAAAACGTCGTTTTTTATCGTAAATATTTACATGAAGATTATTGTTCAAATATTATATCATACTGCTGGAAGGGAGGTGGGATTTAACTTAATGTATTTGATTGAAAGAATTCATACTTGTTTAGAATAGGATAAATTTGACAGCTGAAAATATAAGTGCTCATGTGCAGCTGGTCCCAGAGCTCATTCAGTGGTTTACAACTTTTTCGGTTTCGAACTCCAACGATCCGTTGTACATGTTCATTTATGATATAGATATTGATAAAATACCGGGCTTTTTCTTGTTCCTCAAATATAATTTCTTTATCGCGCAGAGAAAAGATACTAACTTTATCAATCAGTATACTGATGTTGCCATGGTTGTATAATTTTTCTTTCAACATGATGAAAGTTGAATTTGACTTTTTTTCACGCGGAAAATAAGATCTTCTTTAGAAGCATACTTACGTTATGTTTGCGTTTCGTTAAAATAATTGTCACATGGTTGCCTTATAAAAGCCTGTTATATGCCAGCTCTCTGTTAAGAAGTGGATGTGATTGGCCTGTGGTCAGACACAGTTTCTGAAATTGGTTATTTTAGTTCTAACTCAGCAAATGTCTTGTATTAGGCAATAGTTATTAAAAAACTCGAAAAAGCTGTGGAAATGCTCGCCTGCTGGTTCGTGTTCCCAAAGCATTTCTCGTTCTCCCAAACTTCCACTCGTGTTTCTATTTTAGTGTAGATATCTTAGTCTTCTCAGTTTTGTATTTTGCATTAGTCTGCGTCCCCTTATTAGTACGAGTTTCCTCCAGGCTACATGGTTTGACACTTAAATAAAGTTTTATTATTATACCATTATTAATTGTTTTAGCATAAATCTATTAATCGTTCAAAACTCTATCTAAATCCTCCTCACAGATACCTCGAAAAAATAAAGACTCGACCGTCATTTCGTGATAGAACGCCAGTAGATTTATACTAAAACTCGATAGAAACACAATGAACATGTTTTCTATTTCTTTTAAAAGATTCCGCGACGAAAAAAAGAAAACAATCTGTTTACTTTGATCATCAAAATGTAAATTCTCTTTGCTCGCGCCATCATAACGTCAACAGCTCGTGCTAGTTCTATGTTTCTATCGAGTTTTAGTATAAATCTACCAACGTTCTATCACAAATGTCGTTCTCTGATTGGCTACGCTACTCACTATGTATTCTGTGATAGATAGTGAGTAGCGTAGCAGTGTGCTCTTGTTAACAAACTGGCGGCCGTTTCTTTGCCGTTTCGAAATATATGGTAAAGGATTAAGATAAAGTTTTGAACGACTAGTAGATTTACATCAAAACAATTAAATTATTCGTTCTTGATTTTTATGCATGATAGTTGACTCGGGCTGCGCCCTTATCAACTATCACGCGATAGAAATCTCGAGCTAATAATCTAATTATTAAATAGAAACACGATTTTGAACCAATAAGCGCGCGTATTTTTTGGGGTCTATTTTCCAATAAACTACAAGTATATATCTTCACTGAGGATGACTACGTTATGTTCAGTTACCTGGAATTATGAATTAATGCTTTATGATAGCATAGTCCATTTTTGCGTTTATGATAAACTCTCTTTACCTTTATGGTCAAATAGGGTCATTAAATTTATAGTTGAGTTTTATACAATTTATGTTTGGTCACTTTTATGGTTAAACCGACTTTTTAGATTTCTGGCATGTATTACATTTATAGCTGTTTAAGGGTGAATAATTGCAAGCATCTGTAGATTGCAGATATATTCCAATAAAGGGGTTAATACGAGAATTTCATTTGATTTGATATTTGCATGGTTATTGTTTGTATGTGGAACTGGACTAACTAATGCAACAAGTACAAAAGCGATTTCACCAACAATTTCTCATGTGATGGACTTCGTTTAGTGGTGTTTTTTGTTTACCTAGCGATGTGAACTCTATCTGTGAATAGTTTTTTTTTTAGGTCTTTGTGATTAACTTCAACCCTTATTTATTCTCGTCATTTGTTCATATATTTCAATAATTTTAAAACTGTCTTTGATTATTGGGAGGCGCGGTGGCCTCATGGTTAGCGCGCCCGTCTCCGGATCGAGCGGTCCGGGTTCGAGCCGTGGGCGGGGACATTGTGTTGTGTTCTTGGGCAAGACACTTTACTCTCACAGTGCCTCTCNGGAGTAGAAATACTCCTAGTCGCTTCATGCTACAGAAACCGGGATAAGCTCCGGCCTGATGGGCCACTTGGCTCGTACGCAGACTTTACCTTACCTTTGATTATTACGTAACTATGCATGCAATCCGCGCAAAGTTATTGGTTGAGTGTTTTCATTTGTTTTGTTTCTTTTTTTCCGCTTGTTTCGTTGCACATATCTCAGCGTTTTGCTACATATTTTAGCATGTAAATTTTACTCTTGGAGTCAAACTTGGAATTGGTCGTTGAACGGTTAATAGCGTCGTCTACTTTCAGCCCTTATTTTATAATAACATCAGTTTCAAAGAACTTATTGAACTACACAAAGTAGTCTAAAGTAAAGCGATAAACTTGGAGGATTTAAGATATATCCACGAAACATTAAATTAATAAACAATCACCACATAACAAGCTGCACCTGGTCCTGAATACAATGAAACAATGCAGTAGCCGAGACTTTGGGCAATTAGTTCCTTTTCATGCCACGCGTCAAACCTCCTTTAATTCAAATCAAAGGGAACTCTAAGATATGTTACGTAAACATCAGTAAATAAGTTGTGGTCAGCACACCCAGTCCGAATACTGCTATAAGTTATTCAGTTTATTTATAAAATATGCGGCAATGCAATGAAATACAAATTTAACCTTCGCACACAAAGCATGTATATGTTTACAACGGTTATCAAATATTTTCTTACTCTTATCAATGTCAGATGTTTAGTTTTGATCATAATATTCAGATTCGATCGGCAATATTTGTCAATTAATATTGGCGAGTTCACCTTTACTAATATTTATAACCTTTACTTTGTATATGTGTCCTTTACATCATCAGGAATTCAAATATAAGACGAATAGGAAATTTCCCTCTATAAAGACTGTTTGAAAACAGCACAAAATTGATAACCATTTCGTCGAAGGTAATTTGTGAAATGCGTAAGATTCCAATATGATGAACGTTAGAGTATGTTCTCACACTGACTTGAAAGCTGTAGATGTGACGTAATTTACATTACCAACCCATACACTCACCTTTCAGTTCATCTGTAAAAAAGAGTCCTGGCTCAAGTCTGATCGTATAGGAGAAGCTACAAGGTTGTAGTATGGGCTATCATAGGGTTCTGTGGGTAATATAACTTTACCCGTTGTCAACTCTTAGTTCTCATGGAATATGTTAGTTATTTTTTGAAAAGCAATACCACATGCTGCTGTTTAACCACTGAATTAATTCAATAGTAAAGACTTTACGAGAGTCACAGACCTCAAAGGGGAGTTTGCAAATCATTTTTCTCAATGTAGATTATATGAAAATACGCTTGTACCCAATTTGATAACGAAATTTGACTGCCATTAAACTAAGTTCACACACTAATGTCTGGTCGATGGGAGGTTTACAACATTTAGCATGTAAATTTGAGGATCTCCTTCTATGTAACTTGGTAAAAATACCATTTGGTACCATAAAAAAAACTGTCTGGAATACTTCAATATTAAAAATTAAATAAATTCCCCGCGTTTTCGCACAAAATTGTCTAGCGCCTAAGGTACTCCAACGAGAACACAGGAGACGATTCCACAGGAGACAATCTGAAATGATATCGATAGTGAGAACACAAAAATGTCCTAAATCAGTTACCATTACATTGCAAAAAGACCTTCAGAATATATTTTGTATGTTATCGTAAGTGACTTGCCAGGGCTTCGCCGTATTCTTATGGATATAACAACATCTTACTGAAAAAACCTAAAACTCTGATAATTAAAGTAATGCGCTATTACAAAAAATACTTGTTTTTCGTTAGCTAATTCAAGTGAAATGATAGTCGTATCTGTTAAATCACATGCTAAACTACAACCTACCTATAATATATTATGTTATTGAAACATATGCGTATTGAAGGTAGATCGACCGGTACCTCCAATACTACAATGCATTTCCTTTAGAATTGGCCAAGTGATTAAGTATCAGTAGGTGGTTTTCTTTTCTCAAACGACCCACATGCAACTTATGGTAATGAGGTCCTGGCAGGTGTCAGCTGTACTGTAAAATATTACTTGCACGAAAGGTGTTTTAACTACACACTCTCGGAATATCCTTCATATTTCACGCCGTTCTCAGGCTTGTAAGTGTGAGTAAAATTTAATTAACTGTAATTTGATATGTACTTAGATTTACTTTCTGGGATCTGTGCAGAAAATCTGTTGATGTTATTTTTAAACTCGTTAATGGAACTCTTTGTTAGATTAATCTTCATATTCCCTATCTACGATACTAAGAGACAACCTAATTCTAAAAAGCACCCGTGAACTCCGTAATTGCCAATGACGATTATTGAGAGCACAAAGGCATATTTGGAAAACCTTACTGACTAAGGCTAAGTGTCCTTTCAACATCTACACGTTCCGTAGTTGGAAAGAGCTACTTTTACACAAATGCCCAGCTTCTAAAAATAAACAAATAAAATATGCCAATTCCTAGAGAGTGAATAAGTTATCAAAATTGTAAAGAAAATAACTGCCTCTAGAATAGCTAAGCTAAAGAGCCTTGATGAATTCATTACTTTATTTGTGATTTAATTGTATAAGCGCGCCTTTTTTGGAACAGAGTCCGGGCAAAATTGAAATACAGGAAATTCAAGGACACCCCACTGAGATTATTTCCTAGATATTATTAGATTTTCGCTCCTACACAGTTTCGAAGAAAAAAATATTGTTAAATATTAACCTTTTGAAAGGCT